GCACGAGTCTGGTAAGGACGGAGTTGAGTCTGGTGGCAAGGACGTTTGCATACACTTTTAAAATCGTAGTTGATGAGGTATATGGGCGGTAGTTTGCTACGTTTGTATTGTCTCTGTCTGTAGATATGTCGGTGTTGGGTGATTCGTTTTCAGTCGAGGCCTTGTACATAGCGGCCAGGTGGGTATCAATTGTTCCCTGAAAGCTTTATAATAGGAGCCGTCAAACCCATCCGGGCCTGGGGCTTTGCCCCCTTTAAGGTCCGCTATGGCCTTGTTTATTTCGTCCTGTTCTGTGGGTGCCCCTAGGTGGGCTGTGACATCTGCCAGGAGTCGCGGTATGTTGGCTTTGTGCAGAAAGGCAGTGATCTGCGCCATGTACGTACCAATGTCGTATGTGAGTGTGGGGGAGTGGTTATAGATCTGGGCAAAGAACTTCGTAAATTCATTAGTAATGTCAGTAGGGTTATTGAGAATTTTTCCCTGGGTATCTTTATTGGAGTGATGTTTGCCTCTGTTCGTTTGGGTCTGAGGGCCCTTGCTAGTAACGTATCCATTTTGTTGGAATCATCGTAGAATAAGCGTTTTGTACGGATCATATCCTTACTCACATCATCTAGCATGAGTTGTCGTCTGATGTCGGTCAATTCCCTAGCCCTGTTCGGGGTTGCCTGCTGTTTATTTTGCATTTCAGTTTTACGTAATAGTTTTTGGAGAGCTTTTTGTTTTTTTCTTTTTTTAGATATGTGGCCGTTTTGATTAATAGACCCCTGATCACCGGTTTGTGGTCTGCCCATAGCGTTGTGTGTGATATGTCCAGGGAGCAGTTTTCTTGAAAGTAACGGGTTATTTCTTGTTATATGGCTACTTTTGTTTGGGGATCTCTGAGTAGTGAGGCATTTAGTCTCCATTTCCATGGGGCGTGGGGGCCTGGTATTCTGAGTGTGATTGCAATATCAGCGTGGTTGGACCAAGAGATGAGGTTTATCTCAGAGGTTTTGATCCAGGGCAGGGCTAGTTGGTTGATGAGGAACATGTCTATTTGGGAGTAGGTGGCATGTACTGCCAAATAGAAATTATAGTCCCGCGTGCTCGGGTGTTGGATCCTCCAGGGATCTAGTAAGCCTGTGTGGCTAATAAAAGTGTTCAAAAGTCTGTCCTGTACCCCTCTGTTCTGTGACCTGGGGAGGCGAAGGCCTCCTCCGCGGTCCGTAGCTGGGCACGGTGTTGCGTTTAGGTCTCCCCCTAGTATTAAGATCCCTCTGGGGAGCCCCAGGATCAGCAAATCCAGTTCTGCCAGAATTCTTTACAGGGAGCGTTAGGGGCATATACGTTAATCATGTGGTATATGTTAGCGTGGAGCGTACCCGTTAGGACCACGTACCGGCCTTCTTTGTCAATATGTGACTGAGTGATGTTTATTGGGTATTTTTTATGTATAAGTATTTCGATACCATTTCTCTTGCACAGTGCTCAGGAAGTGAATGCCCTAGTGTAGAGGTGGTTTGTGAGCTGTGTCTTTGCCGTGCATGGTAAGTGGGTTTCCTGGATGTAGGCTATGTCTGTTTTCAGTCGCCTAAGTTCTCGGAAGAGGAGGCTCTGTTTGTTTGGGCTATTGAGCCCATTAATATTGAGTGAAGTCAGTTATAGCGTCGTATGGTGTGTTTCCTTACCTGACCTGTCTGGTGCGGTGTGTTCCCTTAGCCCGGGAATGTGAGTTAGGTGGAGTTGTGGCCCCCGGCAGACATAAAGACACTTTTAACATGCAGCTGTATTTTTCAAAAGCAGTACACTGACAAATTTTGTATCTGCAAGAGTGGTGTTAATCCAATCTCTTGAAAAATAAATAAGAAGTACTAAAGTTTTAGCGTATGAGTGTCTATGTTTGCTTTTTTTTCTGGCATGCATACTTGATGTATAATACTTTACCTGAAAAAGTGGAACTTATGAAAATTCTCACGGAGTTGGTTGGTTCTTTAGGAAGGGTGGTCTTTCTCCCTCTAAGTATATTTTTAATATCCATTTTACTGTTGAGGGAACAGGAGAGGCAAATTTTATAAAATTTCCATTTAATAACCATTTGTGTTAAATCAGTCTTTATTAGTGTCTCAACATCAAATAGGTTTCCCACGCAGGGGACAAAATGGCAAACAGTCATATATTGTGGGAAACATTTTTCTTTGAGTCTAACATATTAAAACTCTTGTTTAACTTAACAGTAGTACCTTTTCCCTTCTCTAGGTAACATTGTGAAATTCGACAGATTGATCGGTAGTGCATCAAGCTTCAGCCCTAGCCATCCTTAATTAGTTGCTGTTTTAGAAATCTTGGGAAGTGTGTTGTGTATTCATTCTTAGTAGGGCCTTATGTGGTTCTGTTGGGGCCCTGAGGTGTCAAAGTGTGCTATTGTAGCGGTTATTGTGCGTGGGTCACCTCTTGGTGGCGCAGGGCCTAATGTTATGGTGCCTTTGTCCCTGGAAAGTTGTTGTCTTAGTCTATCTATGGGCTCCCAAGCCGCAGCCAGATATCCGTGTTTTCGAAAGTGTGTGGATTAAGTCCGCAGCTGGGGGTGGGGGTGGGATTAATAACAATTTGGACTTTACCTGAATTTTACAAAGCATTTTGGCACATTATTAACTTGCATTCTGTTACAGTGAAGGCAAAATATGAACCTGCATTTTAACACTACTTTATTTTCATCACAGCTCTGGCCCTAGAATTACTTGCAATCTGTAGCAATGTGTTCATGCAATTTTATTTATTTTATTTATTACTGGCATTTATAAAGTGCCAACATATTCCACAGTGCTGTATCAGTTGGAAAGAGAACAGACCGATACAACAGGTAGAGGGCCCTGCCCATGAGCTTACAATCTAAAGATTAAACTGGGGAGATAAGAGGTAGCAGAGTAACCTGTATGCTGTCAAAGACTGAGCTCAGTATTATCCTACATTCTTGCACAGAATGTGCACACTTTTAACTAGAGTTAAATTAAGATAGCCCGGGCCATCGTCTGATTGCCCATCTGAAGCCCTTTGTTTGGAGTTGTGTGTAGTGGCTGAATAGTGCGTGTCTGGGTGGGAGGCTGAGTTTTGTTTGTGGTAGCTGACTGTTGTACTTTCGGTGTCTGAGTGTTGCGCGTCGGTGGAGGCTAATTTTCACTGCGTGTGGCTGCAGAATGTAGTGTTTGTGTCCACACATCATTCCTTCCATTTAATAAAAGTATAATTCCCCCCTTCCTGCTCATCCCTGGTGGCCCAGTCGAGGGACAGTCTGGGCAGGATCCCTGGTAGTCCAGTGGTAGAGCATGTGGTGTGCACCACTGTCAGTTGCAGATACTGTCAAAGCTTCTTCCAGTCATACTACTCAGTCATTGACTCAGAGCGCTGTCTGCCTTCACTCTAAGTCATTGAGAAGTACTGGGACTGTGAGTTATTACTTAAAGTGATCTGCACTTTTAAGAGGGAGCAGGGCCAAGCAAAAAGGTATTTTGTTTCTTCTGCCAGCTCAGGTAGGGTCCTCAGTGGCAGCCCCTATCGAAGACTGGGATCTAGGCCAAATAAAGTGTAATCCAGTTCTACTGTTAACTTACATTCTGGCACTGTAGAGACACAATAATGACCTGCATTCTGTCAAAGAAGAGACACACTATTGTTGCATTACATTCTATCACAGTGCAGACACATTATGAATCTGCATTCTATCACAACACAATAACACTATTAACCGGAATTCTATCACAGAGAGACCTCACTATTAACCAGAATTCTAGGGACATTAGATAGAAAAAAGGAACAGATGGATTTGGCCCCAAATTATGAACTGCCCCTAAATAGGGACACTTGGGGGTGGTGTACCCCATTACCCTACATTTCAACACAATTAAATTACATTCTATCTCAAAGAAGACTCATTAATAGCCCACAATGTTTAAAAATGTCAGCTACATATGAATCTGTATTTTATACAATATATGCACATGTATTCTCGGTGTCAGCTCTATAATAGTGTCTCTTTTGCCTTTCAGGAATACTTGAATACTCTTGAAGAACTGCGAAGTCCATTGTTAACTTGACTTGAACACAAAAGCTTGAACATTTACTAATTATTTATATTCTTACACTTATTAAAACCTACGTGTCTGACTCTATCTATACCGGGTTCTCTCAGGCAGAGAGGAACAGATTAATTCTACTATCAATGTCGATTATCACAGTGCTATATTTTTGCACCAGTGATCATAATCTGAAGTTAAACATCTTTAGAACTTTGTGTAGACCTTGGAGTTGTTAAGATGTACAGGGTTTTCACTAAAATGTGAATTGTCTGGAATTGAAAGTGAATTGCAAATGTAATATGAAAATATTCAAAATTAAAATTAAGCTCTTTGGTATAAAATATTACATTTTCTTTTAAATCCCTTTCCAGACCAAGTATGAATATATGCTGTGTTTCTCCATAACATCGTTGTTATTCATGGCAAATAACATTAACGTCTGAAATTAAAAAGGTACTCCACAGCATTGCCACCTGATATTTGCCTAAGTGGGCTCAACATGTGTTAAATGCACGACTAGTTTGTCCTTTCTGTCCCCATTCAAGTTCCTACCCACACTTTTGCCCTACATTGGACAGCTTACTGGCTTTTGAATATAAAGATCCTAAAAAGGGACCAACTAATTATCTGAGTGCCAACTTCACATCACAGTATAAGCAATTTTTTATCAAACTTTATCCTGTTATACAAACGCATTCACACATTTACCTGGATAATCTGTTCTTTTCTTCCAATTTTCTGGGGGACCAATACCTTATGTCCAATTTAAATGCCTTAAAAATTGCATTTCCTGAATAAAAATTTCAGAAGTCAGAACATTTTACACCTATTGTCCCTGGAGGTTTTAAGAATTTCAAGAAAAATTCCAACTTAGTTTAAAATAAATAAAAAACTTATATTTAAAATTTTAACTGAAAAACACTGCTTTGTTAAAAAATCTAAGTGGTTGTATTGGTAATGAACACGTTAGAAGCAGTTCATCAGATTTTCTGCAAAGAAAATGTTGTGAGAGAAACACAGTGTATATAGCATTGTCCCATCTCTATAACAACAAATGTTTTTTCTCTGGGTAGAGCTTAAACGAGCCCTCTGGGAGCAGGGAGTTCTCTATTCTTGTGGCTGCCTTGTACACACACACACACACGCTCTGTCATTGTGAGACAGACAGGCTTAACCTGTTCTCATGGTCTTTTGACCATTATCAACGGCCACCTTGTCATCCACAAAGTTGTTGGTGATGCAGAAAAGACGGCAACAATTTACATTTAAAACTGTTATCATTTCTTAGATTTTTTAAATTACCTTCCTGTTAAAAATGTTTTAAAAATACAACAAACCATGAATAGACCTCCTACCCAAATTACCAGGGATAGTGGTCAAGAAGGAATTTTTTTTCTAGCTTGTTGTAATATTGGAAGTGCTTCAGACTGGGTTTTTTGCTTTCTTTGGATCAACAGCAACAAAACAAATGTGAGGAAGGCTGAACTTGATGGACGCAAGTCTCTTTTCAGCTATGTAACTATGTAACTATAGCTCTCCATTATAATTCACTGTTATGCCATCATTTGTTCAGGGTGTGAAACTATGTCTTAATTATTACAGTTCAGTCACAGTGCCCACACCATGATAGGATGTCAGTACATATTGTGCTCACAAGGTAATTTACTGTTAGATGGCATTGTTTCAGCACTCGTTAAAATATCCAAAAGTAAGCCAAGCACTCAAACTCCCACTACTCCTGGGCGTAGAAAAGATTTATTTGCGCACTATCCAAAGATAGGGATTTTGGATTGGTGTGCAATTAACTCTTACTTTCACTTGGCACTCATTAAAATAGTGAACTCATGCTTTTGCACAAATATAGTGTGCACATAAATAGTGTTTGTCTAGTTAGTACTCTGAAACTTACAACCTAACTTCCCAATTCATATACCTGACTCACATAACTCTTACCTTGCCAATAACAACCATAACCTGGAATAACCCATGTGCTAGAGCGATGCTATTTCATTGTTACCATTTACAGCGTTGGATTATGGGCTCCATGGTCCTGGAGCAGATAATTTATGGAACTTAACAAAAAAAGATGAATTTACATTTCATAAGATATATGTGACATATAGCTAACCCAAGGACGATCCACGTGCAATTCTCTCTACTGTTTGATTACAGTGTTACAGGCTGAGCACCATGCAGTGACTGAAATGCAAATTAAAAGGACCCCCTAAGCACCAAAACAACTTTAGCTTAGTGAGGTTGATTGGGGGTATAGTTCATGCCACTGCAATGTCACTGCTCAATTCTTTCCCATTTGGAAGATAAATCATTTCATTTATGGTTTGCAGAGCCTGACTACCATCGAGAATGACCGCAGCTTGTTAGAGCTCCGGAAACCCATGCATCTTAGCCTTGCTAACATTAGCTGTAAACTGTTATCATTTCCCCTGAAGCATGTGAGACATTCACTCTACCTTACCCACGCTCCTTCCATCATTGGCAGTGGCAGAAAGTCAAAGCAACACACTTTCCAGAAAAAGCCTTCCTGCCATCCAGAGACTCACTGTTCTTGAACACTTATTTGACCGTTCTCTAGGTTTCCTTATGGACCGTGCCCAGAGAACTCTGCACTCCCCGACAGCCTTCTCTGCCCAACCGAGAGAATTCATAGTGTGAATGCACTATTTTCAAACTAGGAAGCATTAATGCATGCTGCACAGAATTGCCCACAATGGATTGAAGAAGTGCAATTCTACCAAGATCTGACTACGGGGACTGTAAGAAAACAAAGGGAACTTCATCCACTAATAATGACCCTGAAATCTTTCTTGAGGTTGAATCGTAATAAGCACCTGTTCTTTTAGCAGATCTTTTACGTAATCTTTTAGGTCACTGTCTGAAGGTATACATGTTTGGATAAAGAAATTTCTTCTGGGGCTTCTGATGGATTCCAGGCGATAACTGGAATTTATAATAGTGAGAGTCGTTAATATTTCTTTCTCAGGTGTCCTGAATCCAATAGACAGACTCCTACACACAACTTATAGAATGTCAGAATATCTTGTTACTTGAACAAATGGACTTGTTCTTGTTTCTTGTTACCATTGATTCTGGCTGAAGATGACTGTCCACTGCACCACAATGAAGATCTATTAAATTCTATTTCCGGTTTGTAGGCCCGGCTATCCCTAAAATAAGATTCCTGTTTAGGTTTCCTGGTCACCCATGAAGAATAAGGCATTTTGGCATTTCTTTCTTGGGGGAGAAAAATCATTCTTCTATCTACTGCTTCCTTGATTGATTCTTTCAGTGCTTTTCCAAATAATAGATCACCTTTGAATGGAAGGGAGCATAAGTTAGATTTAGGTGATGCATCTGCTCCCCAATACCACAGCCATAACACCCTTTTTGCTGCAATGAGAAAGCACCATAGTTTGAGAATGTTTTTAACTATATCCAAGGGGGCTTCTGAAAATAAATCTTACCATTCTTAGCCTCCATAATGAATCCTTGAGGTCAGATCTCTTGACTCCTCTCTCTATAACTCCAGCTAACATAGCCAAATCCTCATGGTTCTGGATACGAAGCAAGTACTGCGGGATGACAACTAGCACCAGCTGCAGTGTAGACATTAGATAAATTTGTATCAAGTTTTCTATCCACTGGTTCTCTTAAAGTAGGCCAGACTTTATGGCAACTCTGGAAATTAGTGTGTCCACCTTGGGAGGGGTGGTTAAAAGTTTGGTTGTTTCTTCTTCATGGTTGTATACCATGATAGTTTACCTTGAAAGGAGACATGTTTCTTCCATTCAGTTAATATGATATCCTAATGGCTTGATGTAAAGAAAAAATAATGTTTTTGTCTTTTAAGATCACCAAAGTATTTATCTGAGGTGCTTTAAGTTATCTCCAAGGTATTTCTCACCATCTGAATTAATTTGTCAAGTGTCTTTTCATCTAATGATTCAGGAACCAAATTAGCTTCTTCTTCATTTGATTCAATGTAGTCTAATATCTGGAATTCTCCTACAGGAACCATCATTTCATTGTCTGAAGAGTCTGAGGAATTCTCTCAATGCCGCGGTCTCTTTTCTGCTTTCTTTCTAAGATTAATGGCTTCTGAAATGCCCTGTGCATCTTCTCTTCATATCCATTAGAGAATTGCTATATTATGTATAGTAGAGGTAGACACTGCCATTTGGAGACAATTATAGTCTTTACTGCTTTACATTCACATCCCGTACATTCCTTCTTTACATAGTTACATAGTTACATAGCTGAAAAGAGACTTGCGTCCATCAAGTTCAGCCTACCTCACATTTGTTTTTTGCTGTTGATCCAAAAGAAGGCAAAAACACCCAGTTTGAAGCACAATTTTGCAACAAGCTAGGAAAAAAATTCCTTCTTGACCCCAGAATGGCAGTCAGATTTATCCTTGGATCAAGCAGTTATTACCCTACATTGAAAGATTATATCCTTGAATATTCTGTTTTTGCAAGTATGCATCTAGTAGCTGTTTGAACATCTGTATGGGCTCTGATAAAACCACTTCTTCAGGCAGAGAATTCCACATCCTGATTGTTCTTACAGTAAAAAATCCTTTCCTTTGCCTTAGACGAAATCTTCTTTCTTCCAGTCTAAACGCATGGCCTCGTGTCCTATGTAAAGTCCAGTTTGTGAATAGATTTCCACACAGTGGTTTGTATTGGCCCCGAATATATTTGTATAATGTTATCATATCCCCTCTCAGGCGACGTTTTTCTAAGCTAAATAGGCTTACATTTGTTAACCTTTCTTCATAGCTGATATGTTCTATTCTTTTTATTAATTTTGTAGCCCGCCTCTGCACTTTTTCTAGTGCCATAATATCCTTCTTTAGAACAGGTGCCCAAAATTGCACAGCATATTCAATATGGGGTCTTACCAGTGATTTATAAAGAGGCAAAATTATATTCTTGTCCCGAGAATGAATGCCCTTTTTCATGCATGACAATACCTTACTGGCCTTGGCCACTGCTGATTGACATTGCACATTGTTGCATAGTTTGTTGTCTATAACAATTTCCAAGTCCTTTTCGTGTGTTGTTATCTCTAATTCGCTTCCATTAAGGGTATACGTTGCTTGTGTATTCTTTACGCCGAAGTGCATAACTTTGCATTTTTCAACATTAAATTTCATCTGCCATTTGAGTGCCCAGTCCCCAGTCTATCTAAATCCCTCTGCAGCAAAAGTAATATCTTGCTCACATTGTATTATTTTACAAAGTTTTGTGTCATCTGCAAACACTGAAACATGACTTTCAATGCTGTCTTCAAGATCATTTATAAACATGTTAAATAGAAGGGGTCCCAGAACAGACCCCTGAGGGACACCACTTGCCACCTCCGTCCAGCTTGAAAATTTACCATTAATGACAACTCTCCTTCAAAAAGCTTTTTCATCTAGACCGATTTCCTTGAGTTTGAACACTAATCTATTGTGTGGAGCTGTATCAAATGCCTTGGCAAAATCCAAATAGATCACATCCACGGCAACACACTGATCTATACTTCTACTTACTTCTTTGTAAAATGCAATCAAGTTAGTTTGACATGACCTGTGCTCAGGGCCGGACTGGGAATTAAAAGCAGCCCTGGAAAAAAAATATTTACCAGCCCCATAATGCGCCGCGTCAGCGTAGTGTGCAGATACAGAGTTAGAACAGATAACTTAAAATTAAAAAGTACTTCAATGTAAAAAGCGCACTCATAGGCTTCAAAATAAACAAAAGTGCAGATTTATTTTAAGCAGACGTGCCTTTGCATGTAATCAATGTTTCAGTCCAACTACTTTGACATATTAAGGAAAGTTTATTAATGGGACTGAAATGGTGAATGTATGTAGGGCACAACTGTAAAAAATGTTTATTTTGAAGTCCTGTGGGTGTGCTCTTCACTTTAAATATGTTATTGTGCTTGAGTATGCACCTAGCAACAAGATTAGGCCAATATCTGCTCATTACATATGGTACATATTAATGAAATTTCTCTGTGTATTATGCATATATAAATGTACATTAATATGTGTAAATATAATATATATATATGTATATATATATATATATATATATATATATATAAAACTAATATACATGTCATATACCAGTGACGGATCCAGAGCCTGAGCCCGGGAGGGGCACTTGTAGATTATTTAAAGAAATATTCCATGCACAATAACCACTACTCCTCTGTGTAGTGGTTATGGTGCCAGGAGTGTCGGCACCCCCTCCCAGAGTAAGTAGTCAAACCATTTAAGAACAGTTTGACAACTTACCTGGAGTCTGCTGGGATATGGGGCTGTAGTAGGGTATAGGAGCAGTGGTGCAATGTGTGTGAAAGGTTCAGTGTGTGGGTGTGTATGGTGTGTGTGTGTGTGGGGGCAGTGTGTGAATGTGTATGGTGTGTGTGGGGGCAGTGTGTGAATGTGTATGGTGTGTGTGTGGGCAGTGTGTGTATGGGGTTAGAGTTCACTCCTACTACTGCGACCACCAGGAAGTGGTGAGAGTGAACTCTAGCCCGTAGCTCCAGGGCTAGAGTTCACCCTCGTGAGAGCTGGAGCGTTATCCCGGGTCCTCTCTTTCTCCCCCTCACTGCTCCTCTGTGTCAATGTCTCCCCTCTCCTTCCCAGTCTCTCTCTTCCCCCTCTGCCTCTTTCTTCCCCTCCCCTTGTGTGTCTCTCTCATTTCTCCCTCTTTGTCTCTCTTTTCCCCCTCTGCCTCTTTCACCCCCTTTCCCTGTCTCTCCCTCCCCCTTTCCCTATGTCTCTCCCTCCAAGCCATGTCTCTCCCCTCTCCCCATCTCTCCCCCCCTTTCCCTGTGTCTCTCCCCTCTCCCTTCCTCCCCCCTTTCCCTGTGTCTCTCTCCCTCCAACCCATCTCTCCCCCTTCCTGTGTCTCTCCCATCTCTCTCCCTCCCCTTTCCCTCTGTCTCTCCCATCTCCTCCCTCCTTTCCTGTGTCTCTCCCTTCTCCCTCCCTCCCCTTTCCTATGTCTCTCCCATCTCCCTCCCCCTTTCCTGTGTCTCTCCCATCTCCCTCCCTCCCCTTTCCCTGTGTCTCTCCTTCTCCCTCCCCTTTCCTGTGTCTCTCTCTCTCCTACCCCTTTTCCTGTCTCTCCCTCTCCCTTCCTCCCCCCTTTCCTGTGTCTCTCCCATCTCCATTCCTGTGTCTCTCCCCTCTCCCTCCCTCCCCCTTTCCTGTGTCTCTCCCTCTCCTCCCTCCCCCCCTCTCTCTATTCCCCTCACACCTTCCCCCCCCCAATTTACCTTAAAGAAGGCAATGGGGCCGGCCGCATTCCAGACTGGAGCCGCCGGGCCGGGTGGCAGCTTCGCTGGTCTGGCGGCACTCCAGTCACTGATGGATGAAGGAGGAGGAGCCTGTCTACCATGCTCCCTCGCGGTTCCTGTGCTGGGAATTGTGGGAACCGCGAGGGAGCATGGTAGACAGGCTCCTCCTCCTTCAGCCATCAGTGTCTGGAACGCGGCCGGCCCCCTCTCAGTGTGCCATCCGGACCGGCCACCCGATGGCACCCATGTGTCAGCGCAGCCCCCAGGTGCCGCGGCCCACCGGGAAATTTCCCGGTATCCCGGTGGGCCAGTCCGGCCCTGCCTGTGCTTCATAAAACCGTGCTGATTTTTGCTGATAACCATGTTCTTCTCAAGGAATTCTTGAATATTATCCCTTAATAACCTTTCAAATATTTTACCAGCCACAGAAGTTAAGCTCACGGGTCTATAATTTCCAGGCAAGGATTTTGAACCCTTTTTGAATATAGGAACCACATCTGCCTTCCTCCAATCCTCCGAAACACTTCCTGAAAGAAAAGAATCTTGAAAGATTAAAAACAGAGGTTCACTTATTTCTACACTTAGTTCCTTTTTACTAAAATAATATCAGAAATATTTTATAAAATTATGATTATAAAGAATATAGCTTAATTGCATCAATTCACATTGAAACAAAGTGACATTTATTGGACTTTGAAGAATAGGCCATATGGGCTACTAAAATATAGTATAAAATAAATATATGTAATATTTACATAGTTTAGCTAAACATTAGTAGAGGGAAGCAGAGTCTCCTACCTACGGTAAGGAGCAAAATGGCAAATCGGAGCAAGCAGGTAAGAATCCAGGCAGGTAGTAAGTTTGAAGTTCAAATTTGCTGTTTAGTCTCCTCCATTTATATATTTCATAATAGGTGTTACTGGGGGGCACCTGATAGCCTTGAATTAGATTGTGGCCTTTTTTCACTTTCAAGATGGTCATCATGGCTTCCACTGCCTTATTTGAGTCATTCTCGCATAAAAACATTTTGCCATGTTTGTCGATCATTGCACATGTGTGGGCTGTCACTGGACAGTCTGAAAATCCACAGATGGGCTAGCAAAAAGCAAAAACTGATGAAACTTGAAGAAACAACCTAAGGAAGGGTAGAGAAAAGACAGACCTAGGCCCAGGAAGGCTGTCCAGCTAAAACAACAAGCCAAAGTAGTAGACAGAATAGCATAACCGGTCATGTTGCCAGAACTTAAAATGATCAATCTGCACAAAGATGAAAGATGTTAAATATATACAATAATACATAAATAAATAGACAATGTGTAAAAAAACAAAATAACATATAAAGGTAACATAATTAATTAAACATACTGTATATTTATTCCACTGATGGGTAATCATGTGAAAAACATCCCAAGCATTGGCAGAACTAACTTAGCGAGGACTCCATAAGAAATGCGTTGGGCCCCCTCTATCGCAAGAGTGTTGAAAAGATAGATCCCCATCTGTCATACAACATCCATGATGCTATTCCAGCTGGTGATCTACCATTTTTTCTATCCTTGCAGGGTTGTATTTATGAGCAATTTTTGTGCGTTTTGAATGTAAGCATGCTTTTGCATAGAGCATGTGTGTGCATGTATTTGTATGTACTGTTGCCAATGGAATGCAGTGATGTTCATTTGTGTGTAGTATTTGCATTTGAATGCAGGGTTGTGTTTGTGTGTAATGTTGGCTTGTAAATGCAGGTGTGCTTGTATGTGTAGTGTTGGTGTTTGTATATAATTTCAGCATTTTAGTACAGGTGTGTGTTTATATGTAATGTTTGCGTTTGAGTGCAGATGTGTGTTTGGAAGTAATGTTGGCTTATAAATGAGGATGCATATTTGTGTGTAGTATTGGTTTTTCAGTGATGGGTTGTGTTTGCGTATAACTTTGGAGTTTGAATGCAGAGCTGTATTTGTATGTAATGTTTTTGTTTGATTGCAGGGTGTGTTTGCATGTTATGTTGGTGCACGATAGCTGGGATGTATGCACATACACGGCCACATACATACTTACACGGATATACATACACATTAACATACATATACACATATAAACACTCTGACACCTACAAACACATTCATATACACATTGACATATGCACACACCTTGACACATACACACTGACACAAACAAACACCTTTACACACAGATAAAACATAATTCCTCCCCATAAAATAGAATGAGAAGCATGCAGAGAAGTACTTCTTAATGACAAGCATCAAGCGGTGTTATATTGCCCAGAAAATGTTTCAATATTTGTAATGAACCACAAACTGTTATGAATGCAGATGGTAATGAAAAATCTACTTGCCAAGGGCCCAACTCTATCATAACAGAAGCATCAATTATGAAATATTTTTGTTTAATAACATTTCCATATGTCAATGCCAATGCATTGGTTTCCTGGAGAACACATATGTCACAAGCTCTGATCCTTTGACGAGAGATTAAAATTCATACTAACAATAGAACCAGATTTCTTTTTCACACATCTGAAATGCCGAACTTTTTAAGGGCCATAATATCTGAAACCAGATCGTAGCCTATTGCCAGTTTTCACAGTCTCGGTTTCAAGTCTTATTATTCACAGTTAAATAATCATCCAAGAAATGCAGTCTCAAAATACAATGTCCAGACTACATGTATTTTTCTACTTGGAATTTTTGTCCTTAGGGTCTGTTGGTGCTCAGTCACTTTCCGTATCATGATTGTTCATGGTATTCACATTCTATGGCAGCCATGTAACCCCGTTGTCTGACAAATGTTTCCTCTCGTTCCTCTACCTCCATGTACTCCAGTTCATTTTCAAACTCTTTCTCTATACACTTCATTTCTCTCAGAAACATTTCACCTCCATCAATCTTTTTTTGTGTTGTTGTAATAGGAACTGTGCTCTTTCGCCTTTTCATCACAATATTAATCTCATAGATCAAAACAAATGCCAAAAAGATGATAAAAAGCTAGGAATGAGAATAAAAATAAGCAAGCGTTACAATTATACATAGGCTCCATTCAGACTACAATACTGTTGTATGACTTAAAGCGGCACTGTCATGCTGAACTTACCTTTCCCTAATCGCTTCCTCTTCTCTCCCTCTCTCAGGATCTGTCCTTCATCTCTTCCTGTCTGCTCTAGTTTTTTTAAAACATAAGACAAAGTAGGGACTATTTGTCTTATGGAGGTTTCCTACGCCTGACCATCTATGACCAGCGCGGAGCAAAGTGTGCTCCATTTCCTGTGGTCAGAGAAATTTTCCCACAATTCTCACCTTTCCTCCGTGTTCGTGCGATGCCTCCTTTCCGTATTCCCGAACGCCGGCAAAACGACCAAATTTCCCATTTTCATTTAGGGCCCCCACCCGCCATGAGCAACGGGTGAGTGCCCATTTTTTAGATGGGGGGCTTTTTTTTTTAAAACAGTGAGCAACCACTGGCTGCTCACTGTTTAGTAGACAAACCCCTACTCGTGGCATAGCGAGTTTAATCTAGATTTTAATCTCCCTTATGCTATTATGGGGGTTATATTAACCCCCATAAAGTGAGGGAGGACATGGGGGGCTTAGGAAGTAGCGTGGACCACTGCTCCCTGCCGCTTCTATTTTTACATATTACAAGGAGGGAGCTGCGCGCCGGTAGCTCCCTCCTTGTAATAAACAAGGTCTTTGTTCATTCGTTTGAAATTTCTATTCATTACTTCTTCTTTCTCACAGAACTATCTAGTATGGGCAGATAACGTGTCCCACAGGAACTTCATCTACCCACACAAACATGGCAGCGCCCAGGACCTAGGTCCGGGCAGAAAATAAAGATAAGAAAATAGGTAATATGGGGGGCTTAGAGGCATTTGAGGATGACTAGAGGGACAATTAGATGTAGTGGAGTCGCGAGGGGGGGGTTAAAAAAAAACGGATCCGGCCATGACAGTGCTTCTTTAATTTACAAGGCAAAAATACATGCTTGTTTTTGTTTAATTTGCTTTTTATTGATAAAGAGCAAGAAATATCAACAATAAAATAGCTGCAGTCGAAATACACATGTTATAACAAGTACAATCATTCAAGGTCACCGTGAGGTTGTTAGATGTACATATGGCATAAAGTATTCTACAAAGTCAACTGTGTTATAAGGTGACATTGTGTACGAATCACAAACACCCAGTACTAATCATGCATATAGTACTAGGTCCTGACATGGTTTATACAAATAAAAAACTCCAAATGAAAGATTAAGTGAACTTGTGAGAAAATAATAGAGAATAATGGAAGATAAACAATGGTTAAAGAATGCCAATTGTGTAGGTAAGTAAAATGCGTCAGTATAGTCATTAATTATGTAGTACGTAAAGCACAGGAAGTTAGCTAGAACATAAGTCGGGATGTCTGGAGTAGCAATTGAGATCCAGCAAGGCGGTGTCTCAGGGGAAGTTAGCGAGGCAGGAGGAGTGTGTTGCAGGTGTAATCAAGATGAAGTAGCATGATAGGCTATGCGGTCATATTGAAGTTAGTGGACCAGAAATCTAGCCATGGTTTCCATACTCTACTGTATCGATGGGCATTGCCGTCTGCCCCCCAGTGCAATTCCTCCTTGGATCTTGTATCATCTACTCTGTTCACCCACTGTTGTAGAGTTAGAGGTTGAGTTTTTAGGAATGATGTAATTGGCATCATTTCAGAGGAACCTAGTAGTCTTTGATTATTTATATCTTGAACAAAGTAAAAACTTGTAAAGGTGAATTAGTGATAGGTAGAATAACTTAATGCAAATGAGCACTTGTTTCCAGAATTTGTGTATTGTCGGGCAGAACCACCATATGTGCTCTGTAGTGCCTTCTCATGAATTACACCACCAGTAATTATAACTGACGTTAGGGAAGAGTGTATGTAATATCTGAATAAAATAAACCCTTTAAGAGAATCCCTCAAAAAACCCTTAAAGTACAACAAGAATAAAAACAGAGATAAGGGCTGCGCTAAAATGGGCCAATTAAATATATGACAATAAAATATGGAGGTAATGCAAATAAAAAGTCTTAGCTGAGCAGATCTTCCTTAGATCAAATAGTCTATAAAAGTGCTTTGTCAGGAACACTGTCCTTGCCGTCCTTCCTCAGGTAGATCCAATAATATGAAAAGATAAAACAAAATAGAAAACCAAATAGTGTGGTATGTCCAATAAAATGCAACAAGTGATAAAAGAAGATAGTATTGCACTCACATGTGTTATATCCCATAAGCGGGGATTGTACCGCTGTACGCTTTCCAAACTAGAGCTAGCTATAGAATACATGTGAGTGCAATACTATCTTCTTTTATCACTTGTTGCATTTTATCGGACATACCACACTATTTGGTTTTCTATTTTGTTTTATCTTTTCATATTATTGGATCTACCTGAGGAAAGACAGCAGGGACAGTGTTCCTGACAAAGCACTTTTATAGACTATTTGATCTAATGAAGATCTGCTCAGCTAAGACTTTTTATTTGCATTACCTCCATATTTTGTCATATATTTTATTGGTCCATTTTGGCGCAGCCCTTATCTCTGTTTTTATTCTGTATGTAATATCTGTATAGCACGGTACGAGTGACCCTCTTATAAAATGACTCCCTCTTGATATGGCTAAGTGGTGTGAACATGGCCTTCTGGAAAATATGCGACCAGTCTCTTTTTGTGGCAATTCTTGTTGATTCTTTCTGTCAGTTGAACGTACAGTGTAGCTGCCCATGATTTTTGAAAGGGAGCAAAGTCCACAGCTGAGGACCCCTTCTGAAGCAGAATATAGATTTTGGAGAGTAGCTGTGTAATCTGGCTAGTGGGGTAGCATAATTGTTCGAAGGTAGTTAACACTTTATGCATCCAATGGGGCCAAATCTTTCTCTTAAGGATTAAAACAACGTGTTTTAAATGCTGTTAATGTAGTGAAATGATGCTGTGTTTATAAGAATGCAACAGAATATATATAACAAAGCCACAAGTATATGGTTAGGACAGAGATTAGGGTAAAGTTAGTATTAGTGGGAGGTCAGGGGAAAGTTGAGGTCCTTAGGCATATGGAGTTTGGGTTATAGGGTATTAAAAGTTTGAGGGGCTAAGTGTTAAGGAAGACTTCCAGACTGTAGCCTGTAACTCCAATCATTCTCAACCAGTCAAAACTAACCTTAAAGGACCACTCTAGGCACCCAGACCACTTCAGCTTAATGAAGTGGTCTGGGTGCCAGGTCCAGCAAGGATTAACCCATTTTTTTTATAAACATAGCAGTTTCAGAGAAAGTGCTATGTTTACAAATGGGTTAATCCTTCCTCCAATTCCTCTAGCGGCTGTCTCATTGACAGCCGCTAGAGGCGCTTGCGTGTTTCTCACTGTGAAAATCACAGTGAGAGCATGCAAGCGTCCATAGGAAAGCATTGTAGATGCTTTCCTATGCAACCGGCTGAATGCGCACGCAGCTCTTGCTGCACATGCGCATTCAGCCAAATGGGAGGAGAGGAGGAGGAGAGCTCCCCGCCCAGCGCTGGAAAAAGGTACGTTTTTACCCCTTTCCTCTCCCCGGACCCGGGCGGGAGGGGGTCCCTGAGGGTGGGGGCACCCTCCGGGCACTATAGTGCCAGGAAAACGAGTATGTTTTCCTGGCACTATAGTGGCCCTTTAATTACCCCATAACCATAGACCCTCTAACCCTAAGTACTCTAAGCCTACTACATAGGATTTACTATTGCATCCTGTGTAAACAGGTACAACAGTTTATTTGTTGCTTAATTTACTTTATCTGTGAAAAATGGCCAGTCTATGGGTGTCTGGGGTAAATGTCAAACCAATTGAAATTTTGTTTTAACTATTAAAAATGAGACAGTGCCAAAGAGGCCTGGCATTGTAGCCCTTATAGCTTGTAGTGGTTATGGAGTCCTGTGTATTTTGTTCTCATGCTTATAGATATTACATAGTTACATAGTCAGATAACTGAAAAGAGACTTGCGTCCATCAAGTTCAGCCTTTCTCACATATGTTTTTGCTGTTGATCCAAAAGAAGGAAAAAAATCCAGTCTGAAGCGCTTCCAATTTTGCAACAAACTAGGAAAAAAAATATTTTTGACCCTAAAATGGCAGTTAGATATCTCCTTGAATCAAGCAGCTATTACCCCACTAATTAGAAATTATATCCCTGTATGTTTTGTTTTTGCAAGTATTTATCCAATTGCTGTTTAAACATCTGTACGGTCTTTGATAAAACCACCTCTTCAGGCAGAGAATTCCATATCCTTATAGTTCTTACTGTAAAAAAAAAACCTTTTCTTTGCCTTAGATGAAATCTCCTTTCTTGCACTCTAAATGCGTGACTTTGTTTCCTATGTATAGCCCTGTTTTTGAATAGATTTCCAAATAATGGTTTGTACTGGCCCCGAATCTATTTGTATAATGTTATCAAATCCCCTCTGAGGCGCTGTTTTCCAGACTAAAGAGATTTACATTTTTTAACCTTTCTTCGTAACTAAAATGCTCCTTTCCTTTTATCAATTTTGTAGCTCATCTTTGCACTTTTTCTAGTGCCATGATATCTTTCTTTAGAACTGGTGCCCAAAATTGCACAGCATATTCAAGGTCTGGTCTTACCAGCGATTTATAAAGAGGCAAAATTATATTATCATCCCGAGAATTTATGCCCCTATTTATACATGACAAAACCTTACTGGCCTTAGCAACTGCAGATTGACATTGCATATTGCTGCCTATTTTGTTGTCTATAACAATTCCCTAATCCTTCTTGTGTGTGATTATCCCTAATTCACTACCATTTAAGGTGTAAGTTGCCTCTGCATTTTTGACCCCAAAATGCATAACTTTGCATTTCTCTACATTAAATTTCATCAGCCATTTTAGTGCCCAGTCCCCCAATCTATCTACACCCTCTGCAGCAAAGCAATATCCTGCTCATATTTTATTAGATAGTGTGGCGAAAGTGACCTCGCCACTGTCTTTTGGAGGGGCCTGTTTGCCAGACTCCTACCCTGTGACTATGGCCCCTGTGTTAAAACACCAGTTGTTCCTCTTGGACTTATAACAAGCTCTGTTTATGCAATTGGGGCTATATGAATCGTTTGCCGAACAGCCGCACAAACCGAAGACCACTCTGGAGCTTATTAAGCTTAATTGATACATGGTTGCAATTCCCACCTCTGTGGTCTAAGTGTTCGCATAGGTGGCCGCAATTCCTATAGACTACCACGAGGTGGCGGCCATCTTGTTCACATGGACCAAAACCGCGAATAGACTTCAGGGGGACTTAGCCGCGAATGCCCTGGAACTATTTTTAGCATGAAAATCTCGTGGTTCCCGGTCAGTTCCACATTTTTTTTAAAGAATTGCCAGTTTTATTGTCTTCTAATGTTTTGATTACACAGCAAGAAAGTTATAGGGGGAAGTGATTGGAAACCCCTTTCACCTGAAGTCAGTGAGTAGTCGACACAGATAAGTGTTTAACAATGTATTGACTATCCAATGTTTTGATTTTATAGATCTTATTGCCCCCTAGTGTTTCAATTGTGGCAGAGAAGATATCTTTGTCAAGGGAGCATCTGTTTCATAATCCTAAATGCATAATTTTGCCGTACACATATTAACTTTAATATGGGCATTTGTATCAGTTTATTTTACCGTAGCTGGTATCCTTTTTAGTCTCTCTCATTCTCATTTTATTCAGGCCCCTGCTACCACTTTAATAGCCAGTAGTTGTCATTATATAAAGTAATATTTGATCCATGAATTTTTGAACCTCCAACATCTGGTGACCCATTCTTAAAGATAAAAATACATTTTATTTAAGCCTTACAGAACTGTCACTTATCAATTCTAGCATAACCCAATAGCTAGTAACTAAAAGTAGGCTGTAGAACCCACCAATTGAAAAATTCTCTATAGTTTATTTTTATTTGTTTACAAACTTTGTCAAAATATGCAAATTAGTTACCTCTCCCAGTGTGGTATGCATAGCACATGCATGGGTATGGTACTGCTAGAGAAAATGACTGCTGTGCATGAAGGCATACGGCATCTCTCAATTGATGCTCAAACTCCCAAGTACAAAAAAATAAGTTTACTGAAGTTAAAAAGCAAGGACCTGTCACTTTTCTCTAAAAAAAAATGTATTTGTTATTCAGTAAGAGAAAGAAAGGCACTGCCTCAAGAAAATATTTATGTATATTTAAAATATAACTTTTAATAGTAAATCTATAAAGAGATAATGAGAAAAATGAAAAAAGAAAACAAATAAATTGATATTAAAGAAACCTCAATTTCCCACAGGGGAAATGTAAGATAAGTGAAATAATAGTGAAAGTTAAAAATAGACAGATAGGTAATCGTAATTAATAGATGAAAAGCCGCCTTACCGGAAAACGCGCGTCGGGGTTTGGGAGATTCCGAGTTTATCTCATCTCAGTCCTAGTCTTATATGAATAGATTTTGTTACTTTGGCGGGATTTATCTAACAAAACTTTAAATCAACTTGTGATCTTTAGAGTGCTAGGCTGGGATTCGGTCAAGACTTTTTTCTTCTCGCACATTAGGGAATGAAGTTTATATTTCTCACCACGCTTATCAGGGTGTTTCAATTCATATTCAGTCTCTACTTATTTGTGACAGTTAGCTAGCTTAGCGTTTTTTTGAGATAGGTGCCCTCGAAGGCACAGTGAAATTTTTTCGTTAGATAGTGTTACACATATATCTAACAATCTTAGTTTAAGTCCTTGGTAAATTCTGTCGGACAAAAGATTTTTCTGGTTATAATTTACATGTTCTAATTTCATTTATCAGGACATGTGGTATCTAGCTAGTCTAACTTTCTGATTAGAGGTACTAGTTTCTGTTACATAGTCCTATTGTCTAAATCTAGCCCTCTGATCATATATTGGGCAATAATATTTATTTGTAGAGATCCATGTTCATAGTAACTATCCATAGTGACTTATATGTATATACATAGTTTCCACCTGTCCTACCTCTAACAGTTAGACTGAACAAGAATCCTTTTTAGACGGACCTGTCTTACTCTATATCTCTTAGAACGGGAATACATGTCTGTTCACATTAGACAGATTAAAGTTTAGACCTAGTGAGTCATTTAGATATAACAGCTGACAGATTATAGCACTTTGCAACATTAATTTGTGTCTAGCTGTTATTATCTGTGAAGTGTCCAATTATGGCTAAAAAGTTACAACTTACCTAACACTAATTTGGATTTTCTTCTATTAATTACGATTACCTATCTGTCTATTTTTAACTTTCAATATTATATCACTTATCTTTCATTTCCCCTGTGGGAAATTGAGGTTTCTTTAATATCAATTTATTTGTTTTCTTTTTTCATTTTTCTCATTATCTCTTTATAGATTTACTATTAAAAGTTATATTTTAAATATACATAAAAATTTCCTTGAGGCAGTGCCTTTCTTTCTCTTATTGCATCTTATTCTACCTAGGGTTAACCCCTTCGCTGCCCCATTTACCCACGCTTCCATTGTTTTCGGTTTCTAATAAGTATTTGTTATTCAGTCCAATCAACATTTTAGGGCAAAGCTGACCGAAAGTATGTAGGGTTCATATGGTTTTGTTTCTATTTATCATCTCTATGATGAATAATATATCAATTGACAGGGGGTGAATTTTAGTTTATATACATGCCACACAGATCTCTTATTGCCAGAATATAACTTTAAAAAACAATACTACCTATTTAACAGAATATTTATTTATTTTCATAATGCAAATGAATGGTGCTTATTTTATTGACTTCTTAAGGATAAATGGTTAATGCCGTCAGGTTCCAGAATACTTGTGCCAGCTTAGCATAGCCTGCTTATTTAGAGTTGGAAGCTCTATTCAGCCCCACTGTTGTTAATTATTAATAATATTATTTATAGGAGTTAAATTAAACAAAACTAATAGGCAAGTAATTTGACAACCCCTATAGCATCATCAGACCAAAAATATAGAAGACATATTACACTTTTATGATACACCAGAGTGTTAATATGTTAGCTGCTTACCTCTAGGATAATTAGTCCTGTGGCTAGGCCACCAAGAAATAGAAGGTTCACCCGACCCCAACTGACAATCTTATCCAAACAGCCATCTACAAAGATACGATCCTCTGCATCCCACCGTTTAAGTCTTTGGGTCTCATACCCACACATAGTATTAATGACATTCTGCGGGAACAAGTCAATTCGGGATTGAGTTATACTAGTACATGCAATTTCAGAAATCAGGAAATAAATTGAAATATATGGTGTAACAGAAGGAGCTTTCAGTAAATTATTCTGTTTAAATCAGAATATAATTGCGTAGAAATGACTCGATCAGTATTTTGTTTCCTTTGGGTTCTCAGTGGCTTAAAATTTTTTATAAACTACTCTGAAAAAGACATTGGCATCTGTTTATTGACTTAAAGAAAGAGATCAGGATCTTCGTCATTGAAAATATGTGGCAGGGCATACTAGAACACGTTTTTGACCTCTTAAAACAGGTGAGCTCAGTTAAAGCGGGGGAGTTGATAGATAGGGTAAATCAGTAGAGGAACTAATACAAATGGGAGTTAGAGAGGGAAATGGCACGATGCTGGAAAATATGTGATATTGCAGAAGGTCTTGATGGTAAGGTATGTCTTTTTGCTGATGATACTAAGATATGTAACAGGGTTGATGTTCCAGGATGGATAAGCCAAATGGCAAATGATTTAGGTAAACTAGAAAAATGGTCAGAATTGTGGCAACTGACATTTAATGTGGATAAGTGCAAGATAATGCATCTTGGGCGTAAAAACCCAAGGGCAGAGTACAGAATATTTGATAGAGTCCTAACCTCAACATATGAGGAAAGGGATTTAGGGGTGATTATTTCTGATGACTTAAAGGTAGGCAGACAATGTAATAGAGCAGCAGGAAATGCTAGCAGAATGCTTGGTTGTATAGGGAGAGGTATTAGCAGTAGAAAGAGGGAAGTGCTCATGCCATTGTACAGAACACTGGTGAGACCTCACTTGGAGTATTGTACACAGTACTGGAGACCGTATCTTCAGAAGGATATTGATACCTTAGAGAGGGTTCAGAGAAGGGCTACTAAACTGGTTCATGGATTGCGGGATAAAACTTACCAGGAAAGGTTAAAGGATCTTAACATGTGTAGCTTGGAGGAAAGACGAGACAGGGGGGATATGATAGAAACATTTAAATATATAAAGGGAATCAACACAGTAAAGGAGGATACTATATTTAAAAGTAGAAAAACTACCACAACAAGAGGACATAGTCTTAAATTAGAGGGACAAAGGTTTAAAAATAATATCAGGAAGTATTACTTTACTGAGAGGGTAGTGAATGCATGGAATAGCCTTCCAGCTGAAGTGGTAGAGGTTAACACAGTAAAGGAGTTTAAGCATGTGTGGGATAGGCATAATGCTATCCTAACTATAAGATAAGGCTAGGGACTAATGAAAGTATTTAGAAAATTGGGCAGACTAGATCGGCCGAATGGTTCTTATCTGCCGTCACATTCTATGTTTCTATGTTTCTAAAATCAAGAGTCAAAAGGAGAGGAAGAGGGAATGAAACAGGGAGAAGTGAACAGTCCACAACTTGTATTGTTTGTGTTTTTTAAACATAGCATTATAGTTAAAGGAACATTATAGTGTTAGGAATACAAATGTGTATGCCTAACGCTATAGTGCCCTGGGAGCCATTTAGGTTCCTGGCCCCCAGCTGCAGGGAGAAAAAAAAACAGTAATTTAAATACCTGTTCTCCCTTGCAGTACCAGTCTCTTCAGAGAAGCTCTACTTCCTCGGCTGAGATCATTGAGGTCGATGATATCGGCCAATTCTATGCTTTCACATATAGAAATGTAGAATAGTTTTACCTTGAATAGAAATAGTTTATTTTTCTTCTATTTGGACTGGAACACCTCTAGTGGCTGACTGAGTGGCAGCCACTGGAGGCATTTAAGCCCTTTAACTAAAACATTGCCATTCTGTAGAACGGCAATGTTTTCAGCTGCAGGATCTAAACAGGGGGGATATGGTGCCCAGCCCACTTAATTGAGAGAAGAAGTTGTCTGGATACTTACATTGTCGCTTTTAGTGTTTTTTTAAATAAAATGCAAGACAACATAAAATGCATTTCTAGTACTTTTTTTTTTAATAATACGCTTGGCAAACGAGACACACTGTATTTGGTTTGTTTTAAATATTTTGTTTATAATTCTATAACTCATTCCTCGTTGTTTAGATTACCTTTAATGTGTTAAAATTAGTTGATGAAAACAGCAATGTTAATTTTACATTAATTCTCAACATATTGCAATTAAAATGTATAATCTAAAAATGAAATATAACTAGTTATAAGCACTTATGGATGTGACATAGCAGCATACCTCCCAAGTGTATCTTATTTTAAGGGGGGTGTCCTCATAAATGACCCAAATTACTACAACAGTGTTCCTCACACTGTGTGTTTTCTGTAAGTTCTGAATCTGCTTGCATGAGGGAATCACAGAGCTTCACAGGAATACAACTTTCAGTAATGTACTATCTATACATGTGTATCTCAGAGCTCCATGACAATTAAACTCACAGCAAATGTGGTGATAATTAGTGAATCACAGAGCTCCAGAGCAATAAAGCTCTCTGTAATGTGCTGTATATATGATGGTATAGCAGAGTTGCACAGCAACAAAACACACAATAATGTGTACTGTGTAAGAATGCATTAAAACGACCCACAGCAGAAAAGCTGTCATGCATGACTGTATAACAAAGCTCCATGTAAATAAAGCTCACAATTTCATGTGTGAGGGAATCAGAGAACTTCACGTCAATAAAACTCACAGTGCGGAGAAAAATATGCAATTATTGTAAATAATCCAATGGTGTAAGTATGTCCTGTAATTTCCTACTCGATAAAGTTGTGTTCAAATAAATTAAAGGATCACTATAGGGTCAGGAACACAAACATGTATTCCTGACCCTATAGTGTTAACACCACCATCTAGCCCCCCTGGGCCCCTCATGCCTCCATACATATAGTAAACATCTTACTGTATTCAAGCTTGAAGCTGTAACTCTGCATGCTGTTAGACTCAGAAAAACAAGCAGTGTGCTGACATCATTAGAAGTGGTAGCCTGATCCAATCACAATGTTTCCCTATAGGATTGGCTAAGACTGACAAGGAGGCAGATCAGGGGCAGAGCCAGCATGATTCAAACACAGCCCTGGCCAATCAGCATCTTCTCATAGAGATGAATTGAATCAATGAATCTCTATGAGGAAAGTTCAGTGTCTGCATGCAGAGGGAGGAGATATTGAATGTTTGGATGCATTTTAGGCAGCCATGACCCAGGAAGGATCCCTAACAGCCATTGAGTGGCCAGTGAAGTTATCACAAGGCTGTAATGTAAACACTGCTTTTTCTCTGAAAAGACAGTGTTTACAGCAAAAAGCCTGATGGGAATGATTCTACTCACCAGAACAAATTCAATAAGCTGTAGTTGTTCTGGTGGCTATAATGTTCCTTTAATGAAAGGTATGTATTCTTGATAATTCTAAAGTTCTAGAGCAGGTTCTATGATTTGTATCAGGTGTGTTTTATTTATTAATAGCAAAGTGCACCGTAGCAGTACTTGTTACCTCGCCTTTTTCCCTGATGCAGCAAGAATAGGGCACCCCACAACTTTCCAGGCTTGGGTTGTTATCTACACAGAAGAAGTAAATATTTTGGGACCAGTCTGTATAGGTGTTGACACCACAGCATTCAAACTGTAAGACAAAGAGAAAATTAGAAAATAAGTTTGCTTACATATTACATAACTACTAGCCATTAATACAATGCTTTTCACTTTACAGTATCACATAATCATATAATAAATCTGTAAGTACACTATTAGGTGACTTTACCCTATAAATGTAGTTTCATGGGGTAATATTGGGTGAGATTAATAAAGGTGTTTATTTAGAGAAGATGTTCACAAATGTTTGATCATGTAGTATAGGGACAGAAGTATAGGGACAGAAGTATAGGGACAGAGCAGATACTGGAGAGGAAGGATTAGATGGGGAACGGTATGAGTGGGTGGGGGACAGGTTATATAGGATCCCCAAGCTTTCCCCGAAGAGTGTTGCCCCTCCGCCGAATCGACAGCTGGTGGTGCCCGCGAAATACCGGCAGGAGATTCTGCGGATAGGGCATGATGTTCCGTTAGCTGGACATCTAGGTTCCCGCCGCACAGCCTATAGGATCATGCAGAACTTTTTTTGGCCAAACTTCAATCAGGCTGTGCGGACATACTGCAGTACGTGTGACACATGTCAACGGATAGGAAAGCGGGGGGACCACCCAAGAGCTAGGCTTATGTCTATGCCTATCATTGGGGAGCCCTTTGCCCGCATAGCCGTTGACATTGTGGGTCCACTGGCCAGGGCTAGTCCATCCGGTAAGAAATATATTCTCACCGTGGTGGATTATGCCACTCGCTATCCAGAGGCAGTAGCGCTGTCTAATATAGAGGCAGAGACAGTTGCTGATGCCCTGGTTAGGATTTTCACCAGAGTCGGGTTCCCTCAAGAGATTCTCTCTGACCAGGGAACCCAATTCACCGCTGTGCTCACCCAGCAACTGTGGAAGGTGTGCGGTATTAAACCGCTGCTTAGCTCACCTTACCATCCACAGACTAACGGTCTCTGCGAGCGATTTAATGGCACCCTCAAACAGATGCTGAGGACCTTTTCTGACACTTGCAGAGACTGGGAGCGATTCCTGCCTCATCTGTTGTTTGCCTACAGAGAGGTGCCCCAGGAATCTACTGGGTTCTCCCCCTTTGAGTTGCTATATGGGAGAAGGGTCCGCGGACCCCTAGATCTCATTAGAGGCCACTGGGAGGGGGAGACAGAGCAGGAAGGGACCCCCATAGTACCATATGTTCTGGAACTCCGGGACCGCATGGAGAAACTGTCCCTAATGGTAAGGGAGAATCTCCAGGTGGCTCAGGGGAGACAGAAGAGGTGGTACGATCGGGGTGCCCGACAGCGAGTCTTCCAGGTTGGGCAGAAAGTGTTAGTACTCAAACCTGTGAAGGCGAACAAGATGCAGGCATCTTGGCAGGGCCCGTATAAGGTGTTAGCACAGATATGTGATACTACCTACCTTATAGCCAGCTGTTCAGATGAAAGGATCCAGCGATCCTTCCATGTGAACATGCTAAAGGAGTATCAGGAGAGACCAGAGAATGTCGCTGCAGTATGTGCCCCTGCTGCAGATGATACAGAAAGTTTACCCTTGCCAGACCTGTTAGAGAGGGACCCCCAGACGGATCTTACTAGCCTAGTACAGCTAGGGGACAGATTGAGCGCTACCGAGAAGGGCCAGGCCAGACAGCTTCTGTGGGAAAAGCAGGCGACCTTCTCCCAAGAACCTGGTTACACTACCCTAGCTGTACACAAGGTAGAAACCCCTGGACAGAACCCTCTGCGACAACCCCCTACCGTATCCCTGAAGCAGTCCGGGAAGGAATGCGGAAGGAGATACAGGAGATGACCCAGCTGGGGGTCATCGAACACTCCGATAGCCCTTGGGCCTCGCCTGTAGTCCTGGTGCCCAAGAAGGATGGGACCACCCGGTTCTGTGTGGACTACAGGCGTCTCAATGAGCGGACCACCACTGACGCCTACCCGATGCCCCGGGTAGACGAATTGCTAGATCGCATTGCCAGGGGACGCTATCTGACCACCATAGACCTGTGCAAAGGCTACTGGCAGATTCCCCTGGCCGAGGATGCTATCCCCAAGTCGGCCTTCGTCACCCCATTTGGCCTGTACCAATTTAAGGTCATGCCATTTGGGATGAAGAATGCCCCAGCTACCTTCCAGCGTATGGTGGATAGACTTCTTGATGGATTCCAGGAATTTGCTTGTGCATACCTGGATGACATTGCGATCTACAGTGAGTCCTGGGAAGAACACCTAGTGCATGTAGGGGTAGTACTGGACAAGATTCGGGCCGCTGGCCTGACATTGAAACCAGAGAAGTGCCATTTAGGCATGGCTGAAGTGCAGTACCTGGGTCACAGAGTAGGGTGTGGGAGCCAGAGGCCAGAGCCAGCCAAGATAGAGGCAGTTGCTAACTGGCCCACACCTATCACCAAGACCCAGGTGTTAGCCTTCCTAGGGACAGCAGGGTACTATAGACGCTTTGTCCCCGACTACAGCGCTATTGCCAAACCCCTGACTGACCTGACCAAGAAAAATCTTCCTAAGCAGGTCCTGTGGTCTCCAGCTTGTGAAGCTGCGTTCCAAGCACTCAAACAAGCTCTTGTGAATGCCCCTGTCCTGGCTGCCCCAGTCCCTAACAAACGTTTTCTCGTCCATACAGATGCTTCCATGTATGGACTGGGGGCTGTGCTGAGCCAGGTCGGGGAAGATGGAGGAGAGCACCCTGTCGCATATCTCAGCAGAAAGTTGTTACCCAGAGAAGTGAGTTATGCGGCAGTGGAGAAGGAATGTTTGGCTCTGGTGTGGGCATTGAAGAAGCTAAGCCCGTATTTATATGGACAGGAATTTTCCCTTGTGACGGACCACAATCCCCTTGTCTGGCATAACCGGGTCTCTGGAGACAATGGCAGACTGTTGAGGTGGAGTTTAGCACTACAGCCATATAATTTCACCATCACTTATCGACCCGGTAAGCAGAATGGGAACGCAGATGGATTGTCCAGGCAAACCGACATCCTCACCCCATCCTAGTCCGGTCATCCCCACGTTGACCCGCTGAAGGGTCAAGCCGGGTCTGCCGGAGTGTCCCACAAGGGGGGAGCCGTGTGACAGATTCATCTGCATTGTTGGTTCGTCTGTTTCCCTTTTGTTCGCGGAATTGCCTGTTCCTATACCCCCGTTCGTGTAAATTGCAAAATACCGATTGAAACTACCGAACGAACGACCACCCAGGAGAGGAGTGTGCTGCTGGTTAACCTCCTGGCCCCAATTAGAACGTTGTGGTTAACCGCAGACACCTCTCCATTCCATTCGTACGGGTGGTCGTCGTTCGCATGTCGACCACGAGGCAGCGGCCATTTTGGGACATACGAACACAGAGCGGTGTTCGGTACAAACTGTATGGAACTAAAAACGGACACTTAAACTACCGAACACCGCTGAAAAGCTGCTGCCTACCTTCCTTTTCGACAAGGCATGCGAACGTCGGTCGTTCGGGAGTTTTATTCATTCGTATGGACTTTCACCCCGACAGCCATCCCATGGAGTCATTCGTATACCGAAGGACTGGTGAAGGACTTTGACTCCATGGCGATTCGACTAGATACATCAGATCTGAGCGCTATTCGGTGAAAACAGGCACTCAGATCCAGGCTGTCTGGGGATACGTTACACGAACTATATGCATTCGGTATTTCTTCAGTTATGTATTTTAATGTATTTTTATTACTGTAAGTTAAAATGGCGATTGTCTCTACCTTGGGAGATAATTAGGTTTCTTCCTAATTATCTCCGGGGTAGAGAAGACGGATTTATGGGTAAGATGGGAAGGGCTATTATTGAAGCCACTGCGATTGGCTACTGTCCAATATGTTTTACAGTCTTCCACAAGGTCCCCTTGGGGAGTGTCCACCTTGTGGAGACCTGCATAAATACCGGGCAGGTAGCCCCCATTAAACAGAACTTCATTTGACCCTCAAGACGGAGCTTGGTCTCGTTTGTGGGGGAATTATTACTGGGACAGCGCTTTCGTTATTTCTAGCTGTGGAAGGCGTTCGACTGTTTAGCTGATCGGGAGTTGCCGCGTTCGTGGACTTCGTTCGGGAGTTTGGCGATCGGCTGGATTTAAACTGCATTTCTGGAAAAAGGGATTATTGCCTAAACGGCGGCTTCATCTACCCGACGGTACGTGTCGTAACAGAGGATAAGGAACTTACTATACAAAACTCCTATAAAAAGACACAGAATGAATCTGGTCGATATTGTCAGAAGCCAACCGAGCTTTAAAAACTACATACTTGCTGCCAGGCTGCATTGATTGATGCCTTTTTTCCAGGCCCAAAAGCAGCCAAAATGGCAACGGAGATCCGGGGCCTACCACACGCTGCCTTGAGGCCCTCCTCGGCAAAGACTGGGCACGAGCCAGCTCCCCTCCCACACAACCCCCTGCACAAGCCTGTATGCCGGCAATGGGCAGCAGATCACAAAAACCTGTCTCTGGTTCAGACAACAGAGACATTGGGGCAATGCTGCAAAGGCCTGCATGGCCAAGATCAACACCAGCGGAAAACTAGCAGGAGGCCGACCCCGAGCCAAGCGGCCGGGAAGTGAAGGTGCCGTCAAATTCTCAGGTAACACATACTATGCCTGCGGAATCCTCCGAAACTCAGCCCCGACCACAAAGCGAGACCTGAAGGTCCTGCTGGCTGACATACACAAGATACTAGCCACTGACTCGGCTATATTTAAAAAGGAGTTGCAAGCAGTCACTGAACGTGTAGGGGTTGCGGAGGGGTACATAAAGGACACACAAGCTAACCTGTCAACAGTACAGGACTCAATGCACCAATTGCAAACTCACCAGAGAATCTTATCTGCCAGAAATGTCACACACATATTAAAATCAGGGGTGTCCCCGCTAGTGTCACCACAGAGAAACTGCCTCACTACATCTGGCGCCTTCTCACTACCTTACTTCCTCCCACAGTGGCACACAAACTGACCATGGACTGTACCGCATTCCCAGCACAATTCACATTACATCAAACGTAAACCGAGATGTCATTCTGCGCTGTCTCACACTTCAGGATAAAATCCAAATAATGACAGCTTTGAAGGGCAAAACACTGCTCGCCTTTGAGGACTTCAATTTGACCTTCTTTCAGGATTTAATAATAAACACCTTGCTATGGAGAAAAACCTATGGATCTGTTACCAGCCAACTGCGATCGGCAGAAATACCTTACAGATGGGGGACTGACAACTCTCTAATGGTAACGAAGGCTGGAAACACTCATGTCCTCCACTCCATGAAAGATGCAACATCCTTCCTAAAGAACTTGGGACTGCCCTTCCCCTCCAACTACAACCCCGAACCAGCCCGAAATCTCATGGGACCCTGCTAACGTCACTCCCTTTGTCCCACATACCAGAGGTATACCAGTGCAAGCACCTTGATGGAGACAGAAGATCCTCGGTGAACTAAAGTTAAAGGCCAATAATATATTTGTTTTTTCCATTATATCTCGTTTTATTTTGTTCTATGGTTCCGACATGTTACATTCTTATAGATTACTTATGGTAACTCTCATATGTTCCTCATAATCCTGGGAAGCTCACTATCTTGGAGTGTACCCTCTCCTGAAAAGAAGGAGCACGCGCTCTCCGGTACTCAAGACATGGCGTACTACACCAATCCTCTCTCCCCCTCCCGCTGCCCCTTTGGAGAATTTATCTTTCAAAGAGAGAAAGGTTATGAAAGACCTTAAGCAAGACCCCTCCATATCTTAATCTTAATGAAATTAGATACCAGCTACGAGATTTGACTACTTATAAAAAACTAAATAAAAATCCTACTACAAAAATAAATATCAAATATGAATCATTTTGACAAGAAGGATTGAATAACAATGTGTTAGATAAAAACGAGCATTCCTTTCTTTTGACCGAACACCCTAAAATGCCAATTATCTACGCCTTGCCAAAAATTCATAAAAATTTAGAAAATCCCAGAGGCATGCCAATTGTTTCAGGCATAAATTCTATTTTAACTTCAATATCACAATTTATCGACTATTTTTTACAACCATTAGTTAAATCTTGCCCCTCATACCTCCAAGAGCCTTTTAAAAATTCTAGAAGACCAAAAATGGGAAGAGGGGTATTTTTTAATCACCTGTAACATTACCAGTTTATATACAACTATAGAACACTGTATAGGAACTGAAGCAGTAGATTTTTACTTAAAACAATCAAAATAGTTTTTAGATGTACAAACTGATTTTATGAGAGTCATGTTGATTTTAACTAATAATTATTTCTGGTTTGAAAATGATTTTTACCTCTAGACTCGAGGTACAGCTATGGGAACCAAGTTTGCTCCCACCTATGCCAATCTTTTTATGTCATACTGGGAAAGATTATTTATTTACCAGGGACATGGCTGTGGAGCAAGCTTCGTCCTATATAAGTGATTCATAGATGACATTTATAATTCAACAAAAAATTTTAATTGTCTTAACTCCAATGCTTGGGGTATTAAATTAACCAAAAACATCAGCTCCACTAGTATCGACTTTTTAGATCTTAATATTTATATCCTAGATAATAGTTTTAAAATACGCACTTTCTTTTTAAACGTGTCATTATTTACAGTTTTATCAAAACAAGCAGTTGCCACCATCACCCATGGCTACAAAATATACCTAAAGGTAATTTTGTATGTCTAAAAAGAAATTGTTTGGACCAAACAGATTTTAATAACCAGTCATCTTTTTTTTTTTTAAACTATTTTTACAGAAAGGATACAAAGAAGAAAATCTTCAAAGAAGTATTGATAGCATCAAAGATCTAAATTGATCACAATTACTAAATTATAAAAAAAAAGAGACCAAACAATACAACAAAAACAAATCCCACACATTTTTTTTTTTACATTCTTTATTTTTTTATTTTTCATTTTCAGTCATGCATCTAAATAGTCATGTTGTAACATTGAACATATTTAAATGAATATTAGTAAAACAATTACACCTCTAATGGGTGGAGGTGAACGTAACTAGTTATACTCGGCTCTATTTTGACGAGAGAAGGGCACATTTCCTTGATGATTATCTGTTTTTAGTATCCGTGTTTACGTGTGTGCATGTGTTTATGTACCTCGGAAGCTAGGTTAGTTGGTTTGCCAATGTCTACGGTTTACTGTCTGACCCCTTGCTGGGCTTCGTTGAGTACGCCTATTGCTTGGTTTTGTGCTGATTTGGGGGCTCTTCTATGTAGCTTGTTCCTGAGTCAGAGCTCCCTGTTTTAGTGTGTTTCCCTTTTTGGGGGTGGTTTGCCTGTCCTTTTTCTTTTGCCCTTTGAGCTCGGGTGGTCATAGCAATTGTTTGTTGCACATTTGTTGGCCCTGTATCTGGTGTTTGGCGTTGGCTGTGTGTACGCTGTTATCTGGTTATGTCTTCGCTCTATTGCTCTAGGTTTGTTCGGGGCGTTGGGTTGGGTTTTTACTCCTGGTTGGTGATTTCTTAGTGTCTATTGGAGTAGTGTGTCTCCTAACGTGTCTATCGGTGTTGGTATTCCTTTTGGTCCTTTGTGTGGGGTTGTCGCGTACTACATCGCATGTGTTGGTGTGTTCCCTGCCAGGTGTGCCTGGCTAGTGTCAGTCGTAGTAGGTTGCAGTGGGTCGGGTCGGTCTGTATGTTACGTGCCCTTGTTAGTTGTCGGCCCTGTGGGGTCATGAAGCCCTTTACCGGGCGTGGAGTCACCTTGTTTCTGTTGATAGTTTTTCCTTCACTTCCTCCCTATCTTTTGTGTATCTGTGGGGGTCTTGGGTCCTTCTGCCTCCCTGGCCCCTGGTCTTGTGTGCCTTCCTCTGTCTGTCTTCCAGTCATCTCTGCTGCTGGGTTTTGTGATTGTCGTTAGTCTTGCTACGTTTGTCGGGGTATGTGACGGCTGTACGTCTCCGTTGCTTGCCTATCGTCCTGTGTCAGGTGGGGATCATCAGGTGTGTGGTTCTGTCCATTGTGGCGTTTGTTATGGCTGTGCGCTATTATGTCGGGGGCGCCTGCGCCGCCGCGGCCGCCCCAACCGTCCCCCCCCGCCACGGCCCACTCCGCTCTCTTAGACACATAGTCCATCCATCGGAACCATGTCAGGGCACACTTGTCCGAACGTCCCTGCATCGAGGCCATCATCATTTCCATGTTGTAGATTGTTTCTACCCTGTCGACCCATTGTTGAAAGGAGGGAATTGTCGGGCTTTTCCACAGTGTTGGTATAAGCGTTTTTGCTGTTGTGAGCAGGTGTTTTGTGAGCCAATTTTTTTGTCTTTGGTGGTATGGTTGTGTGATTTAGTAGCATTGGTAGCGGTTCGAAGGGGACATCCGTGCCCGTGATTTTTTTGATCGCGTGGTCTATCATCCACCAGTATGGTACTATGTGGGAGCCCGTCCACCAAATGTGTATTCCTGTGCCTTCTTCCGTGCCGCATCTCCAGCACTCCGCTCTCTTAGACACATAGTCCATCCATCGGAACCATGTCAGGGCACACTTGTCCGAACGTCCCTGCATCGAGGCCATCATCATTTCCATGTTGTAGATTGTTTCTACCCTGTCGACCCATTGTTGAAAGGAGGGAATTGTCGGGCTTTTCCACAGTGTTGGTATAAGCGTTTTTGCTGTTGTGAGTAGGTGTATGGTGAGCCAATTTTTTTATGTCTTTGGTGGTATGGTTGTGTGATTTAGTAGCATTGGTAGCGGTTCGAAGGGGACATCCGTGCCCGTGATTTCTTTGATCGCGTGGTCTATCATCCACCAGTATGGTACTATGTGGGAGCCCGTCCACCAAATGTGTATTCCTGTGCCTTCTTCCGTGCCGCATCTCCAGCACTCCGCTCTCTTAGACACATAGTCCATCCATCGGAACCATGTCAGGGCACACTTGTCCGAACGTCCCTGCATCGAGGCCATCATCATTTCCATGTTGTAGATTGTTTCTACCCTGTCGACCCATTGTTGAAAGGAGGGAATTGTCGGGCTTTTCCACAGTGTTGGTATAAGCGTTTTTGCTGTTGTGAGTAGGTGTATGGTGAGCCAATTTTTTTATGTCTTTGGTGGTATGGTTGTGTGATTTAGTAGCATTGGTAGCGGTTCGAAGGGGACATCCGTGCTCGTGATTTCTTTGATCGCGTGGTCTATCATCCGCCAGTATGGTACTATGTGGGAGCCCGTCCACCAAATGTGTATTCCTGTGCCTTCTTCCGTGCCGCATCTCCAGCACCCTCTTGGGATCGATTCGTGCACGTGCCCTAGGACGTCTGGAGTCCTGTACCAATGCGTCAGTATCTTGTAGTTGCATTCTTGAAATTTAGTGCACATGGATCCTTTGTGCGTCAACTGGAAAATGTTCCCCCATTCGAGGTCAGTTAATTCAGTCTCCATCTCTCTTTCCCAACGTTCCGTGAAGCGTAGTAGGCCCTTGTCCCTGTTGGCCTGTAATATGGAGTATAGGGTCGATACGCCATGCGCGAGGTGCTGCCTTGTCGTGCAGATGTGCTCTAGTTGCAGCAGTGGGCGGTGTAAGTGATCCGTGCGGCGTACCTTTTTATCTGATGGTATCGGTAGTCGTCCAGCCCGGTTGGCCTGCGGTCCTGCAGCAGTTTAGCCTTGGTCTTTAGAGTCGTCCCGTTGCACCATTGGCTCATATATACCCAGTCCGTTGCTCCGAAGTTTTTTAGTTCGGCGGGGATAAGTCCTCCTGCCAACGTCGGGTTGTTAGTTATGGGTGTAAGCGGGTTGGGGGATGTCGTAAGTTTCTTGGTATATCACACTCTGCACCAGACCCCCAGTGTGGCATCTATCATTGGGTTCCCGGTGAGCATGTCCCCCCGCGCGGCTTCTCCCAGCCATAGTAGGGCAGGGATCTTCCCTTTTGCCTGCTGCCGTTCTATGCTAACCCATTGTTTAGTGGTTGGGTTGGCGTGCCAGTCGACTAGTCGATGAAGATGCGTTGCTTGATAGTACGTGATGATTGATGGCCCCGTGCCTCCTTCACTCTTTGGCTGCTCTAGGGTCGATCTCTGAATGCGTGCTGGCTTCTGGTTCCAGACGAATCGTCTGATAGTGGTCGTTAACGCCTGGAAGAATTCACGCGGGATGGTTGTGGGCAACATCTGGAATAAGTATAGGATTTGGGGTAGGACGTTCATTTTTATTGCATTTATGCGGCCGAACCAGGAGAGGTACTGTGTTGTCCATCGCTTTATGTCCTGGTGCAACGTGGCGAGAAGGGGCGCGAAGTTCATCTGGTATATATGGGAGATGTCCTTTGGTAGCCAGATGCCTAGATAGTGGAGTTTGGTTGGGCACAGTTTGAAAGGGTATTGTGTGTGCATGTGTTGTTGGAGGGTGTTGTCTCAGGCAAGCGGCTTCGCCTCCAAATTATCCAGGTTAAATTTCAGGTTAGATACTTCGTTATAGGTCCGAAATGCCTCTAGCAAGTTTGGCGTTGAGATCCTAGGTTGTTCCAGGAAAAAGAGCATATCGTTCCCTCCCTCCTATGCGATGTCCTGTGATTCCTCCGTCCTGCCTAACCGCTTCAAGGAAGGGTTCAAGGGTGAGGGCGAATAGAAGGGGGGACAGGGGGCAGCCCTGACGGATGCCGTTGCATATGTTAAACGAGTCTGTTAATGCTCCATTGACCCGTATGCGTGCTGATGGTGCTGTGTACAGCGCGGCCACCCAGGTACGTATGTGTGGCTTAAAAGCCATGTGTTTCAGCGTCTCTGCCATAAAGATCCAGTCTACCTGGTCGAATGCCTTTTCGGCATCCGTGGATAGCAGCACCATGTCCCGTTTGCTAGTCGTGGCCGTGTGTAGGATGTTGAGGGCCCGGATGGTATTGTCCCTGGCTTCCCTCCCGGGTATGAATCCGACTTGGTCAGGGTGTATCAGGTCCGGGAGCGTGCGTGCGATTCTGATGGCCATGGCTTTGGCGTAGAGTTTTAAATCCGCGTTCAGCAGCGAGATCGGCTGGTAGCTGGCGCAGTTTGTTGGGTCTTTGCCTTCTTTCGGTATGATTGCGACAGACGCCCTCAGGGTGTCTGCGTGAAACTGGCCTCCAGTTGGTATGGAGTTGATGCCCGTTAGGAGTCTGGGTAGCAGGATGTCTTTGAAGGCGCGTATATATGAGGCTGAGAGGCCGTCTGGTCCCAGGGCTTTGTGTGGTTTCATTGTTTTCAGGGCTGCGGCGAGTTCTTCGATCGTCAGGGGTAGTTCCAGTTCGGCTTCCTGTTCTGGGGGGAGCTTACGGAGAACATGGTCCTCCAGGTATGTGGTTATCCTCTCCTGGTGTTGTCCTGCAGCTGGTCCAGTCCAGTTTTGTGCCTGGTCGTACAGCGCCGTGTAGTAGTCCCGGAACGCTTGTAGAATGCCCTCTGGGAGCCGTGTAATGCCGCCTCTTCTCATGTGGACTTTGTGGATGTGTTGTGTTCTCCGTTTCTCCTGGAGCATCCTTGCCAACAGTCTGCCACTTTTATTGGAATGTTCGTAGTAAAACTTGGATGCTTTCCTCGATGTATGGAGCAGTCCCTTTGACAGTATATCTCTGAGCTCCCTGCATACCTCGGTGAGGTGAAGGAACGTTCCCTCGTCTAAAGAGTTCTTGTGCTCCCTTTCTAGGTCCGCTATTTGTTTCGTCAGGTTAGCGATACACGTCTTCCGGTTCCTATTGCGGTTGGTGCTAGCTGCGATAAGGTGTCCCCGAATGACACATTTATGAGCCTCCCATAGCGTTAATGGGGGGGTGTCCGGGACGTTATTAGTTGTAAAATAGTCAGTTAAGGTGCTAGTTACCGTGGTTGTGAGCTCTTGGTCTTCTAGCAGGGATTCATTCAGTTTCCATTGTCTGTCCCGTGGGGACAGTGGGGAGCTCGTGTGTACTAGAACCGGTGCGTGGTCGGAGTAGTCCATCAAACCTATGTCTGCGTTGAGCAGTAGGGACGAATACTCCTGGGCTATGAATACATAGTCTATCCGACTGTAGTGTGCGTGGACTGCTGAGTTATAGGTATAGTCCCGCTCTTCTGGGTGGAAGGCTCTCCAGCAGTCCACGAGCCCCGCCTTGTGCAAGGATCATTGTGCTGCACGCAGGCAGTGTGTGGGGATCGCGCTCTGGCCTCTGGAGGTGTCCATTTGTGGGTCCAGTGGCAAGTTTAAGTCTCCAGCCATCACCAACAGGCCCTCCCTAAATCTCTCCAGCTTGGTCAGTGTCCTGCTCAAGAAGGTGTGCTGTTGTTTGTTTGGCCCATACAGGCAGGCGGAGGTGTATACACAGTCTACGATTGTCCCCTTGAGGAATAGATATCGTCCGTTGAGGTCTGCTTGGGTTTCCGTGCATTGGAATGGTGTCGTGTGTGCGATAAGAATCACCACCACTGCTTTCTTGGAGTCAGTTCGGTTCGCGTAGAATCCCTGTGGGTAGCATCGGTTTTCCAGCTTGGGTGCACCTCCGCCTCTGAGGTGTGTTTCTTGCAGGAACGCCACGGACGCTTTTGCTGTCCACAGCCGTCGGTGCAGGTGTGCGCGCTTTTCTGGTGTATTGAGTCCCTGGACGTTATTGGACCAGTATGTCAGCCGAGCCGGGGAAAACCCCTTTCCGGCCGCCATCCCAGGCGGGGAGGGGCGGCGCACCCGTCCGCTGCGGCCCAGGCAGGGTAGGGGGTGGGTATCGTCGTGGGTAAGAGGGTCGGGGGGGTGTTGCGATGTTACAGTTCTATTCTATTGCGTGATTCTTTGTGTGGTGTTGTATGTGTGTGACGTCGACCCTGTACCAGGTGCTAATGTTCCAGTGGTAGGGTGGTGTGCCCGTCCCGTGGAACCCCGGTTATACTTACAGTATGGGTCTGTCCCAGTGAGGTTCAGTGGTGAAACCTTCGGTAGTGGTGTCGTCTGGTCCTCTCTCTCCGTCGGCTCCCAACCCGTCGTGGATGCTTGTTGTCGCGCCATTATTGTTGGCTAGTGTGGGGGCGTTTATAGGTGCTCTCGTCCTCCCGGTCCCTAGCGCCCCCACCTGTCTCGCTTGTGTGTTGGTGTGCTCCTCTCCGGTCTCTCCGGTTCCCGGCAGTCTCTCTATTCCCTTAGTTAGTGCTCCTCTAGGTTAGTTAGTGTCCGTCTGGTTCCGCTGTATCTTGTGTACCGCCCGCGTGTTCTGTGTCTCCTCTCGGGGTATCCCAGTGGTCCCATAAAGTCGTGGGCTAATGTCTGCTGTTGTTGTGGTCAGCGCTGGGGTCTTCTCCCACCTGGGGGGCCCTAGTGTTGTAGTGTGTCAACCCCTAAGTGCAGCTATACTTTTGTGTGTGACCCTCAAAGTTGGCGCGTCGGGTGCATGGTCTCCAGTTGTGCTAGTGTGGTCCTTGGTCGGATCGTCTTTGTGTGCGGTCCATGTCCCTCCCAGTGTTGTTTCCCCCTCTTGAGTGGTTGCCCAGGGGGGGTGCGTGTAATTTGCAGCGACTTTTGTCTCGTGTTTAGCCTGTGTGCTGTGCTTGTGTTCTGCCCGCTTGTTTGGCGTGGGAAATGTGAGTGGTGAGTGGTCACTTAGGGGGAGGTCTCCCGGTGAGCGGTTGTAGCCTCGGGTTTTCCTAACCTGTGCATTTCCCTCTATTTGCTGTCTGGGCCCTAGTTCCCTTACTGGCGTTCTTCCCCTATGGTCTCACGCCAGTAGTCTGGGCGGGTAAGCCTCTTACGCCTATTCTATTCTGGGCCCCTCCCTCTGGCTCCTCACTATCTACCCTTGGTGCCATGTAGTCTCACCGCCTTGGATTTGTGTTTCAGCTATTTACATGTAATGTAGTGTGTTTACTGCATTTGTGTGTAGAGGGTAGCGGGGTCTCTCGTCCGGGGTGTTGTTAGGCCGAAGGTACCCGTGGTAAACTTTTAAACTTTGTACAGTATAACACCCATGAGTTAAGAGGTACTCCATCCCCTCACCCGTCCCATCCCGGACCTAGTCCCCCCTCAGGTGTCTCAGTCTCCGTGATCCATTGTCCCACATTTCAGACCGCTGTTGCTGTACCATCCCAGTTGTTATTGTTGTGCGGGTGTCCGTTGCCTGACGCCCACCTGTGTTCTACCGGCAGGAGTCTTCCTTATTCCCTCCCTTCCATCCCCTCCAAACCTAAGGGTTCCCTCCTGTTGTGAGCCCCTGTTGTTGGGCCTTCCAGTGGGTCGTTCTACCCGTTGTGCTCCCCCCGTTTTAATCTCCTCCTCCCAACCTACCGGGCTCCCACCTATGCTTCCCACCAAAGGCTATTGGGTAGGGTTTAGGGAAATTACATACCCCAGTCCAGGCCTTCTAGTTGGCGGTGGGTCCGCTTTCTCCTGTGCGCCTTGGGCACAGGGTGCTCAGTTCTGGTGCAAGGTATACATTTTGCTCGTCGGGGTGGGAGTTCCTGGTTGGGGCTATTCTTCGGGGACCTCTGGCCCTCCTCTGTGCCGACGTGGGACCAGGCCTGCCTGGAGATTGTGTGCTGCTTCCGAGGGTCCTGTGGCCATGCCGGTGGCCCATCTAGGATCCAGTTCGGGATTTGCACTGCGGGTAAATTGGTTGCGGTCAGGAAGCAGGGAACGTCGTTTGGCCACGGAATAATGTGCCACACGTTGCCTGTTCTTGCCTGTAGGCTAAATGGGAACCCCCATTTGTAGGGGATCCTCTTCTCCTGCAGCATCCGGGTTAACGGCCTTAGGGCCCGGCGGGCATCCAATGTGATTGTGGACAAATTTGATAGAGGGAGACCTGTGAGTCCATATATGAGATCTGCTGCTGCGCTCTAGCCGCCTGCGTGAGGGTTTCTTTGAGTTGAAACGACTCTAACGAGCAGATGACGTCTTTCGGTAGGCAGTCTCTTCTGGGGGCCCGCAGAGCCCGGTGTGCCCTCTCTATGCCATAGTCATTGGGGGCCCTGTCTCCCAGCAGGTGTGTGAACAGGCCTACGAGGATGTCATGGGGGTCTTCTCCCTCCGTCTCCGGTAGGCCTCGGATTTTTCCTGCGACCTGTTATCAAGGTCCTCGACCTGTTGGCGGAGGTCCAGCAGTACATTCCCCTGCCTCTCAGTCGCCATCTCTGCTGCTTGCCAGTATTGGGCGTTCTGCAGACGGTCTACCTCCAGATCGTCCACACGCTGCTCCAGTGCAGTGAGGACTCTGCGGACCGCATTGATTTCCTCCCTGATTACCGCCCTCAGTTCTGCCACCATTTCCGCTTTATCCTTGCGGGTGAGCATATTAGTTCTGATGTTGGCTAGATCCGCCGATATTTGGGCTAGCGTGGAGGGTGTTGGGGAGAGCTGGCTCGAGTGTGTTTCGGCGGAACTAGGTGAGGGCGGCGTTGTCATGGTGGCGTCGTCGGTGCCACAGAGGCCTTGCGGTGTTGTGAGGAACTCGTCCATCGGGCCGTGATTTCGTCTTGCTGGGGTCGCACCGGAGGTACCAGCTGCACCCAGTCACTTTTTCCCATTTGTTAGCTAATATTTCGCTGTGTGTCGGGGTTTAGCGGGTTGGGGCCTAGGAGCTCGGGTCGAGTGCGTCTCACTCCATCGGCTATCAGGCCACGCCCCAAATCCCACTAATTTTTAACTACTGCAGTAATATAGGTGTTTTAAAAAAAATTATAACTAAGAACTGGCATATTCTTAAACAAGAACATGATATTTATGATTTTATAGGTGATAAACCCAGATTTATTTTTAGAGGGGCTAAAAATGTTAAGCAAATGTTAACCTCTAGTTATGTTACAAAGGAGAAAGGAAACTATTTTTTAGAGGATTGGTCCAATAAACAAAAAGGTTTTTATCACCGTGGGAATTGTAATGCTTGTAAAAATACCCTTATTATCAAGAAAACTTTACATCCACCATAACAAAAAAAGGATTTTAATGGTTTTTTCTTTTATCACATGTGAATCAATTTTTTAAAATTTATTTATTAAAATGCACGTGTGGATTGCAATATATAGGGAAGACATCAAGACCCCTTAAGACAAAAATAAATGAGCATATTAGAAATATCAAAATTGGATTTTTAAACCACAGTGTGTCAAAGCATTTTGTAGAAATACATAATTCCAATCCAAAAGAAATGGAATTTATGGCAATCCAAAAAGTCACAACCCACTGGAGAGGTGGTGATAATGTTTTTAATTTAAGTAAAAAAAAAAAATTAATTGGATATTCGAATTACAGACTTTGTGCCCAAAAGGGCTAAATATTGACTTTGAAATTAGACCAATTCTTTAAAGGACCACTAAAGTGCCAGGAAAACATACTCGGGACCCCCTCACCCTCTGGGCCCTTCTCCCGCTGGGCTCTAGGGTGAGGAAGGGGTTAAAAACTCACCTTTTCTCCAACGCCGGGCTCCCTCGGCGCTGGGGACTCTCCTCCTCCTTTCCCCTTCATCGGCTGAATGCGCGCGCACATTCAGCCGGTCTCATAGGAGACAGCCACTAGAGGCTGGATTAACCCTAAAGTAAACATAGCAGTTTCTCTGAAACTGCTATGTTTACAGCAAAAAGGGTTAATCCTAGATGGACCTGGCACCCAAACCACTTAATTAAGCTGAAGTGGTCTCGGTGCCTATAGTGGTCCTTTAATCAATCCACCCTCTCTTTAATCTTATCTTTTTTTATAAAAAATAATTTTTTAATCAAATGTATATTTTTATTAAAACAAGCTTTTAACCTGTACTGTGTATGTTATATTAAACGGTTTATTTCTTGGTAGAATTAACATATTATGTTTCTTTTATTTACTGGTAAGATGATTATAAAACTAATCCATATTATTTTCTTTATGTTTTTTACCCTCACTTTTCCCTTTTTTAAAATGGCGACTTTTATTAACGTCTTCTTTGAGCTCTATATATATGCGGGACTATATGGACAACTCCTTTTGTAAGGCATGGACTTATTGGCGAAATCTACAGGCGTACAAGTTGACGCCTGCTGGAAGAACGAATAACGCAATAGATGCGCGGCCATCTTAGGAAGGTCGTGCACACGCCCATTCAGGATACAGCCTCATCCTCCATACTTGTTGAGGCAGAAATACTCTGGAACTACTCCATATATGGAGAAGGGGATGGGTTTGTTTTAATTACCACATGTGTATTGTTTTTATTGATTGTTAATGGTATATAAGAACATTTGCTCATATGCCATGTCATATGACCCTGAGGAAGACCTATTCTATAAGGTTGAAACGCGTTGTGCTTTCTTTTATTTTGTGTGAGTAAAAGTTTTTATCCTGTATCAATCTGGTTCCTGATTTACCATACAGAGGAATTCCATCGTCTTTCGGGGGGACCTAAATACACTTTTACATCTGCATCTGATTGATGAACCCGCTATTACAGTTTAGAGCTGTCTTATATGGGCTCTAAATATTGTGAGTGTTCCAAGTTATCTTATCTTATTTATTCTGTATATACATATTGCCCTATGTTGGTCTTTTATGTTTACAGCACCTAGGTATTTTATCCCAATATCAAGATAACCATCTACCATTGTGTGCGCCATCCCCTTATCTCCACACCCTCGCAAGTACCAATATGATTGACAGTCACTATAGGCAGTGTTAGTCCTGCAATGTAATCATTACATTTTCTATAAAACTGCAATAGTTTTTTTAGTGCAGGACTAAAAGGGACAGAAATTTCAATGAGCCGAAGTGATCTGGGTGAATATAGTGTCCCTTTAACAATGGCAATAAATACACCAGCCCTGTAATGGATGTGAATGGGTTCTTACCTTCTTTTGAATGTAATCAATAAAGTTTTGCAGGTCCAGATCATCTCGATATCGAGTTATCGCTTTTGTCATCACAGATGCAGCTTTTTCTAGAACCTACAAAGTCAAAATACCATTATCTTCATGTATAAATATTAGAGCACAAACAAAAAAATGCATAAATGCAAAAATAATGGCAATACTACCATAATAATCCAATTTTGTCAATATTGTGACAAAATAATTTTTATTGAAATCTGCACTTTTGTAAAATGAAAAAAGAGGACACACTCTTCACACATAAAGCTTTTCAGCAAGCCGAAGTGCTTTAGGGGTTCCAGAGGGTTTCTTTAAACATATTTCATGATTAAGACAAAAGAAGGCAGGCCCGGTCTGGCCAACAGGCACACCGGGCAAATGCCCGGGGGGGGGGGGGCGGCAATGGCTATGGGCCAGGGCTGGCAGGGGAGGTCACAGGATCTCCCCTGCTGGTCCATGCAGGGCCCGCGCTATCCATTTATAAAGACACCAGAGACAAGTTGCAAGGAAACACAGCGCAAGCATGTTATTAAATTTGCTTGCACTGTGCAGAACAAATACAGAGCCTTTTTCTCATGCTAGAGCTCTTCAGCAGAGCTCTGAGCATGGTCTGCCCTAGAATAGCATTAAACCAACATGCTCACTTTGAGAGGGCGCGTGCTTGTCATTGGTGATGACAAAACACACCCTCTCTGCCCCGTCCCCTTCTTAGTGGGCCGCTGTGATTAAAAAATGCCAAGGCCGAATTTTTCTTCCAGTCCAAACCCGAAAGAAGGTATCATACTATGATAACAAAAACAAATCATGACCACTTGTTATTAAATTTGCTTGCACTGTGCAGAACAAATACAGAGCCTTTTTCTCATGCTAGAGCTCTTCAGCAGAGCTCTAAGCATGGTCTGCCCTGGAAGAGCATTGAACCAACATGCTCACTTTGAGAGGGGGCGTGCTTGTCATTGGTGATGACAAAACACACCCTCTCTGCCCCGTCCCCTTCTTAGTGGGCCGCTGTGATTAAAAAATGCCAAGGCCGAATTTTTCTTCCAGTCCAAACCTGAAAGAAGGTATCATACTATGATAACAAAAACAAATCATGACCACTTGTTATTAAATTTGCTTGCACTGTGCAGAACAAATACAGAGCCTTTTTCTCATGCTAGAGCTCTTCAGCAGAGCTCTGAGCATGGTCTACCCTATAATAGCATTAAACCAACATGCTCACTTTGAGAGGGGGCGTGCTTGTCATTGGTGATGACAAAACACACCCTCTCTGCCCCGCCCCCTTTTTAGTGGGCCGCTGTGATTAAAAAAATGTTAAGGCCGACCTGAAAAGAAGGTATCATAATGTGATAACAAAAACAAATCATGATCACTTGTGTTGTATTTCCATAGAAACAAGAAGAGGTACTTACCATTCCAGAGAACATAAAACCAAGTACTGCGGCCACGAACTGAAGAATCAGTACTATGACCAGCATGTAGGCAAACTGTAAAGCAGAACGATATCAATAACTGTCAAGATCCTATCCTGACATCCAAAATCATGTTTCATTTATTTTATTTTAACATTTCCAGTTTTCCACCAATAGTGGCCTCCCCAGCCACTAGTCTTAATCCACATCCTCTCTCTCACCTGCCTGGAATGAATGACTACATCTGACTATAAAGAGCCACATCCTGCTCAGAAGGGGGCCTTTACATTGATTGAAGTTATGGTCTACCTGAAAGAACTTCGGATCCTGGCTCCTATAAACTTACCTGAAACCAACCTGATCTACACAACTAATCTGCTTAAGGTTACCATCCTGCTTCATACCAACCTGATCTACACTACCCATCTGCTTAAGGTTATCAACCTGCTTTAAACCAACCTGAACTACACTACCAATCTGCTTTATACGAACCTGATCTACAATACAAACCTGCTTAAGGTTACTAACCTGCTTTATATCAACCTGATCTATGCTACTAACCAGGATTGCGAAGTGTAATTTACCTGAATTATCAGTACTCCTTCTAAAACAGGGGGCTGATTCTCTAAACGTCTATTTTACTTACAAATCTGAAACCGTTCTGTTTGTCTTGTCCCTCAAAATAACCTATACTTTCACCGATAGGTTTTCTCTACTATCTGATTATATCTTGTTAATAACCTATCTGGGGCATATTGCCTAACTCTTGATTTCTATTTTATCTCCTTATACATACCTATAATTTCACTTATAGGTTCTCTGTCTACCTTCTGTCAATATCTCACTTATAGATTAACCTGACTCTATTTTCTTGCAGTTCTCCCTTTTTAACTTACCTTCCTCTATATAAGTTCCTCCTCCAACTTTGGCTTCATAGATGTACTAAATTGTGAGTTACCATGTCTAAAGTTACTAATAAAGAACCAAATGTTAACCCTGGCCAAAGTCTCTTACCTGACCTGGTTTAAGACCATGACAATAACTCCATAGTCCTCTTTGTAATATAGTTCTGTATCTTATGTGAAGCTGTACAGAAATGCATAGATGCTGATGCAGATACTATTCTGTCCCTTGGGAAAGGCACATTTCTTAGTGCCGAAACGTTGGGATTGTAGGTTTGTGTCCAGCACTTAGAGGCTTTGTGTAAGTGTTTGTTTAAATACATTTGTACTGCGTATTGGTATTAGCCTCTGTCACTTGTGTGTTTTTGTTTGGTATATTTAGTATTGTTATCTGCTGAATAAAGAGTCTATTTTATGTGGGTATTTGCTTTGGTGTGCATAATTTTGTATCTATAATCTTCTGGTGTTTGCTTGATGGCCCCTCTAGGCTTGCTCATTATAGAAATCTTTACATGATGCTAATTATGCCATGAAAGTCAGCCGCAGACTGAGTGGATGTCATATACATCATATACCATTACATATAAATGTCTACTTACAATTTTAAGTAGTGTATGCATATCCCTGAGGGCTCCCATGCATCCTATGAAGGTTATAGCAAACATTAGGATTCCCACCGCAATCAGTATGACAGAGGGGTCTGTGACAAAAGAATCCACAATACCTGATGGACCAAATTGAATCCGTTATCTTTTTATACATTGTTCATTGACGAATAGCAGCACAGTACTGTATTGTCTAATATTGCGAGCAGTATATCTTCCTATGGTATACAAGTAAAGGAATTCATTATCGTAAATTGAAAACTGAATGTGCAAAACCAAATGGTCAGTAAGCTGGGTTAAAGATTTTTTTCCTATTCAGCTATTTATACCATCTCTTTTTCAGTCACCACATTTTTTTCTGTCACCACATTTTAGGTCAGTTTGAGAAAATATGTGGCTTTCCCAACTCCCATAGTTTGACTCATCTGTAGGTACATTGATAACCTTAGAACATTTGGGACAAGAAGGGTTTGACAGAAAAACAAAGGACCACACCATAGCCACTACACGATGTTGCTGTGAACATGTTTAGAATGACACTTTAAAGGGGACTCTGTCTATGAATATGGCAATAGCTTAGCAATTAATTATTTATGGTATTATGTATAATACATACACCATAATTAGATGCTTTGCGATGTTGTTGTTCCATTTCAAAGAGGTCTGACTATACTATACTATAACAAAGGGATCCACAAAATACACTCCTTTATACATGGTTACCTTTTAAGAAGAGCAGTAGCATTAGTGACTGCAGCTATTTATATAATTAGTATTGCCTGTGCAGCATGACTATAATTTGGTTATAATTTTAGTTTCCACTGGTATAAGGATTGTCCTGTGTGAAAGTGTATTTAGCAAGTTAATCACAGGGGCACATTCATTAAGTGACAACATTACTGAGAAGTTGTGTATTGAAACAACATTGGACACAGTGTGTCTCATTGCAGCAGGTGAGTGTTGGAGGTTTAGCGTTATAGGCGCAAACTAGCTGAATCTGTACAACTGGCTGTCATTTAGACATGAGCTATTCGTTTCGTTCCAAATGTACATTTGGCCGAATTTTGTGCAATTCGGATGCTTACGAATGTCCAAAGTTCTGAAGTGCCGAACCGAATACCATTGGTTCGAATTGCCAAAGCAGATTAATTATTTATTTTTTTACTTATCCGAATTTCCGAAACTGAATTTTTTTGCCCATGCATTATTTTCCAGAACATGACACTTTCGTAACTCTCCACAAACTGTTTTAGGTTTGGTTGGTTTAGGTTTCAGTGTGGTTATACTCACTTTTCTCACTACTGAGTTTAGCATACAATCCTACAGCAATCATTAGTCCGCTAGCCACCTGTTCAGAAAGAGGAGAAATGTCTGTCATTAATATATTCACTGGTCAAGACAAAATCACAATTCCTTATAGTATTACTTTCCAGAGCATTTCTGTTCCTTATTTCTAACTAATTATTGAACATCTTGACTCTCAATACACTCCAATTTATCTGCCCCACTTACAGTGTCTGTTTTATTCCTATAAGGCAACACAGGTGGCCAACTTGGGGCGCAATGGACAGGGGCGTATTGTCTGGAAAGATTGCAGGACCTCGTCTAGGAAGTCCCATTACTGGCTTTCCGAGTGACTGCCGCTAGAGGCCGCCATAGGCAGCAATGTAAAGACTGCCTTTCAAAACACTTGTTGTGGTGAGCTGATGAATAAACGTCTAAGTTTGCAACAAAATAGCTGTACATAAAAACATAGTTGGTGATATTATTTTCCGACATCGTCCAACATTTTGGTGATTAAACCTAACTGGATTTAAGTATCATTGCTGTACAAACCAGCAATTACTTCTATCATACATTAGTGTCAGTTTTCCACTAAAAATAACCACTTGAACTACAGCAAGCTCTTTTATACAGTCAGTATAACCTAGCAACATAGAAACGTAGAAAGATAAAGAACCTATATTGTATGTCCACTCTGCTTTAAAGTCTATGACAGTTACATCAATCACACAAGCGCATATCATGTCTTTACTCTCTAGGGTTTGTCTCCCTTTACTCTCACTGATTCATCCGAAGCAGCTGACTCCTGTTTATATACAGTTGTACCACATTTTATACGCACAGCAAGATTAAACAAAATGCAATACTCACCCAAAAAATATAACATGACACAAACAGACAATACTTTGCAATGTGAGTGGTCCTCATGTTGCCTGAGATTGTTTTCAAAGAACTTTGCAATCCACGATACACAGCTCAACAGAGAGATAATATGAAAGAAAGATATGTGGCAGTGGGAAAGGAAGGGAGGAGTGAGTAAACTAACAGACATGTACGATCATGCAATATGTGCACTCATACGTCTGTTGCTTGCTTTATGTATTCAGCCAAGATTTACTTAATTGTATGTCGCTGCTGCTGTACAAATAGCCATTGTGGGTGTCACAATCACTGTATGTAATAGATGTAATTTTAGAATGGTCTACTCCACAACTCTGAGCTGTGCCAGTCAGTGATGGCTGTGGTGAACCAACACAGTAGTGGAGATTTAGCAAAGTATACTGTTGTAAAAAAGTGGTCTAAAATGCTAAAAATGGTGCAATCACCATGGAAACCAGTGAAACCAGACAAATTCCATTGGTGACTCTTTCCTTTTACATTTTTGAACAATTTTGTTAGAACAGAACATTTTGAAAAATCTCCACTGGTGATTATAATGCTTTCACCTGTTTTCATTAACTTCTCATGGAACTCAATGTTTAAATAAAATTAGAAAATGAAGAAGCGAGGCTATAGAAGTTATTCCAGCCACAACAGCATCACATCTAGCTAAGTTTCTTGAAAGATGCTAGAAACAGCTAAAATGAGCCAAATTCAGCATATTCAGATACATCTTGTGGATCCTGTCTTGTGGTGCGAGCCACGGCCTCATTTAGTCAATAGCCACTCAATGCTGGAGCACTCAACTTTCAGCAGCATCTTTGCCTCTCTGGACCATATGATATATATTTATATACATAGATATATATCAACATTTATTATCAAATTAAAGTTATACATACATTTAGAAGCAGGGGGATAGACCGTGGCTGAGCTGGTTTCATGCTGATGTGGCGCTTTCTCAACATTTCCCCGCAGGTAAAGATGACCCATGGAAAAACTGGGATGGGGGTTATGAGTGCTGCAATAAACCAGCAGGTCAGTACGTTAAAACTAAAGGAAAGGTATTTGTGTTTTGTGTTTCATTAGAAAGTTCATTGTTCACCTTTTGAGGAAAGCCCATGTCAATGCACAGTCACTCATGTCTCTTTTAATACAAGAGCATAAATCCCCATACACCTGACTCCGGGGTCTTTTCCCCGATCACTCTGGCCAAAATAGAGAAAGCCTTTATGCAATTGCCAAACGTCTTCCCTGTCCTTTTCGGCATCCTTAGCATCCCTATCAGACAGAGGGAGCAGGGAGAATATCTCCACAAACTCCCCCTTACATATCTTCTCCTTCACCTCCGCTTTCAAATGAAGCCCCAACTGGCCCAATTAGTACATGTACGACGCGCCATGTGCTGCCAGAGCCACCTCTGATACTGTAGCGGGGACCGTCCCGAGAACCGCGGGCGCCCCGAGCGCAGCCGACGCCACCAGCCCCACCGGAACCGGGGTCTCAGCCGTACCAGGCCCTGGAGGGCCAGGGACCCAGCTGGCCCGAATTTGCGCATCTAAAGATGTAGGTTGCAGCGAGGTAGCCCCCTTGCTGCGCTCCCATTGTGCCAGAAACCCCTTCATACTATCCACTAAACTAGACCACCCAGCCAATGAAGTAGTGCCAGCGCTCCACCCACCCCGCCATCCCCAGTAGGTACTCACCAGGTGGCACAGGCGTGGACTGGAGCAGCTGAGCCGAGCCAGGCAGAACCCGCTGGGCTGAAGCTGTAACATCCAGTGGAGATGTACCAGGTACAGGGGCCGCGGAGGCCTGTGAAAAAGCCTGGTCCAGAGCAGCCTGCAAAGGTAAGACAGGTGAGACTCCAACCCCCCCAGCAACCACAGGCCCACTCCATGGGGGCAAAACAGAAGGGGGACACCCAGTAGGCCCAGGAGAGACAGAGAGAAAGCATGGGGGCTACCCAACCCACTAGAAACCGGTGAGGGGGCACTCCCGGCATGCCCCCTTACTGGATAACCCAGCCCCCCATGTGCATAGAGGGGCCCAGAGCCCCCCTTGAGGAACCCTGAGGCCTACTTACCCACCCAGAAACCCGACTGGCACTCCGTCTGATCGATGAGCGGGACACGTACTGGGCAGTCTGGAGCGTTGCTGACCTCCTGGCGGGCAGCGGTGGAGAGACAGGAACAGTGGAGGTCACACCCGGCCTTGCGCAGGCCTGCTGCCGCCCTCCCCACCATCCTGGAGGGAGTGGACACCCCAATCGCGTGGGTACCGGCTCTGGCACCTGGGGGATACCCAGCCGTCTGGAGAGGGACTAAAACGTACGGGAGGACGAGCCCGCCGTGGCCCACCGTGAGCAGGGTCGGCCCCCGCGCCAGCAGCCTGCAGGCGAACAAGCTGGTCCTGCAGCTGCGCCCCGCCATCCTGAAGGGTCTCAGCCCGAAGAGCATCAAGGACATGACCGAAAACAAGCTCTGGCAACAGCACAGGGAAGCTTCTCCAAGCTGAGATTATTAAGATGGCTGAGCCCCTTACAGAAAATGGCCACCTATATATAGTAACACCACCCTTTCCCAGGGCTCCACCCCTTAGCTCACTCAAGACTTCCTCTGCCCTGATTTTATCCCCCCCCCACTCACACATGTCCCTTTTCCTGGCTAGCTTTCAGCTTGCCTCCCCAGGGTCTCACACAGTAAGCACCCTCATCCCCCCCACCCTCCTTGTTGCTCAACAACATCAAGGATCCAGTCCTGCAAAAGATTTACTATGCCAAGTCTGAAAAGCCAGGATTTGGATGCCATAAAAGAGAAGTTTGATAGGACCAGTTATAAAGACTGCAGGCTTCTCATGGCTCACAACTGCAGTCTAGGAGCAAAACAGAAGGTGTCATAAAACTGCAGGTTTGAAATCAGGACATTTGTCTTTTAGTATGTCATATTAGAAACATGTTTCTCCTCTCATCATTCCCTAAAGGATAATGATAGTTCACTTAATAGAGAAAAGAGAAATTATTTTCTATAATGCTGAAACTGATGAGTCCCAGCTAGTTTCCATGAAAAATCCAGTTCCCGCTTGTGTACCCCCCTCCCCCCCCACCATCCACCCCTAGTGGACACATCTGTCTCTGCCTACTGGTACCTGCTGGCTGCACTCTCTGAGTTGCTCCCCTGCGCATTCAGTGAGTAGAGACAGGGATATGTAACTTCCTGAAATACCGGCTGTGCCAGTAAAATACTGGCCAGGTGGCACCCCCAGCTCTGAGCGGTGCAATCCCCGCTCAATGATAAATCTGGAGCTGTCCCCTTTAGATGTTCACAATGTAAACGGCATGTGAAAGGAATAAAACAAGATAAAATGCTCACAGTTTGAACAATAGTACTTTCTAAAAATATATAAAATCTGTTCACAATTTCACAAGTACCTTTTGCTCAATGATATCAGCTTGGGTGGTGTGATCCCCACCAAGGATATATGTAGGTAGATGTGGAAGTTCCTTTAGATTTTTAAAAATAAAATGAAGGATAAAAAATACATAAAAAATAAACACAACATTTTGAGGGTTAAAACAATGTTTACTGTAATATACCATCCCAAAAAAAACAGATTTTTAAAGAAAGGCTTCTATATAATCACAACGCATTTCACCCATAGGCTTTTTTATCACTTTTTTTGCTGGGACTTTTCAATATTGTTATATATCAATATATATTTTTAAATATTATTATTGTATATATATAGCTGTATATGATTATCTAGTATTTCTTACCTGACGCAATTTGGTTTTTTTGCTAGACCTCTGCTTGTTCTCTGACTATTCCTTCGCCTGATAATAAGGCTGCTGCTAATCAGCATCTGTACTAAGCCCCACCAGTTCTAAGGATCGGTAATTTCCACCTACATTCCTACTTTAGCTAGACAAAGTTATCCGTGTTGGACTTGGACCTAGTAGTACTGTGAAAACAGGAACTATGTCAGTGTGTGTTTGTCATGATATCTACCCCTGTTGGTATTCTCTTATTCAGGCAGTGTTTCATTCCTGCATCATTATTGACTCTGAATGACCTCACTAACCAAAGACCTTTTTGACATTTCAGTGACCAGTCTTAAAATGATGCTGTATGCCTACGTCATTCTAGGGCACTAGTTTTCATGGTGTCAATTTGACATCAGTAAACACCTCTCTCCATTGCTGTGATGTCTGTTTTTTGTGCCAAATAGTGCGTTTATAGATTTTCCTGTTCATATCTGGTATTGACAATTGATCTGTTTGACTATTCTGCTTTTTATAGGGAGTATATATCAGTATAACCCTCACTAACAGATATAATCTTGACTGTATGGTCTTAATATTCCTGCCAAGTCTTCTATGTGCTTTTATGACCTGTGAGGGAGACCTATGATGTCCCTTACCAGCCCAATTCAGCCTAATGCAATAGATGGAGGGAGCATGAAGATCCAAGTCTAGCTTGCTCCAACCAGGGCCGCCATCAGGGGGTGACAACTATAATAATTGTCACTGGCCCGGCGGCCCTGGGGGGCCCGGCCGCCCAGGCCCCACGTGAAGCAGCGAAACTGCCGCAGGTGCATCTGCACTGGGGCCCATCAGGTGGACCAAGCATTTAAGGCCACCCGATGAGCCCTATATATTCAGGGGCCCGGTCAGCACTGTGGCCGTGTAATAGCGCGACTGGGCCCCCGTTAAAAAAAAAATTGCGGCTGCACCGCAAGGGCTGCTGGGAGGAAGTGACGGCCGGTCACTTCCTCCCAGCTTACTTTGCACGGGGGGAGAGACAGCCGAGGAGAGGAGAGGCATCCGCTCCCATCATCCCCAGCCACTCTCCTGCCATGAAAAGGTAAGGAGGAGGATGGTGGCTGAAAAATGAGGTGTGTGTGTATATGTATGTGTTTGCATGTATGTCTGTTTTTCAGTATGTGTGTGTGTGTGTATATATCTATCAGTAGATGTGTGTGTATGTATATCAGAATGCATGTATGTATGTATCTGTGTATGTATATATCTATCTGTATGTGTGTGTATGTCTGTATGTATGTATATCAGTATGTATGTCAGTATGTATTTATGTGTATGTATGTCTGTATGTTAGTTTGTAGCTATGTCTGTTTGTCAGTATGTAAGTATGTCTGTATGTATGTGTGTGCAGGGACGTATTAGCCGCGAGGCAAACAAGGCATTTGCATTGGGCGACAATTTTCAGGGGGTGGCAAAAAAAGCCACCCCCAAATGCCCAGGGCAAATGTCTTGTTAGCCTGGCAGCTAACTAAAAATCTGGTCAGGCAGAGTGATGCCGGTCACCTGGAGCCGGAATATGACGTCATATTCCGGCTCCCGGCATCACTCTGCGGCGTGCGATGGAGCTGAGCAAGAGCTCAGGGGAAAGTGCTCCCTCGCCAGCGCCGCCCGCCCAGCAGCCCCACTGGACCCCAGGGAAAGGGAGAAACCTCCCCCCCCCAGCATTCCCAAAGGTAAGGAGGCTGGGGGAGTTGAATAAAAAAAAAAGTGTGTGTTAATGTGAGTGAGTGTGTGTGTCTGTTAGTGTGTGTGTCTGTTAGTGAGTGTGTGTGTGTCTGTTAGTGAGTGAGTGTATGTCTGTTAGTGTGTGTGTTTGTGTGTGTGTTAGTGTTTGTGTGTTAATGTGTGTGTTTGTGTGTCTGTTAGTGTGTGTGCCTGTTAGTGAGTGTGTGTCTGTTAGTGAGTGTGTGTGTCTGTTAGTGTGTGTGTGTGTCTGTTAGTGTGTGCGTGTGTTTGTCTGTTAGTGTGTGTGTGTGTCTGTTAGTGTGTGTGTGTGTCAGTGAGTGAGTGTGAGTCTGTTAGTGAGTGAGTGTGGGTGTCTGTTAGTGAGTGAGTGTGTGTGTGTCTGTTAGTGAGTGTGTGTGTCTGTTAGTGAGTGTGTTACTATGTGTGTGTCTGTTAGTGAGAATGTATGCGTGTCTGTTAGTGAATGTGTGTGTCTGCTAGTGACTGTATGTGTCTGTTAGTGAGTGTGTATGTCTGTTAGCTAGTGTATGCGTGTCTGTCAGTGAATGTGTGTATTTAAAGAGCGGGGCAGGGGGGAAGGGTGGGGTGGCGCGGGGAGGGAGGCGCCTGAGTTTTGTCATGCCTAGGGCAGCACAAAACCAGGATAAACCACTGTGTGTGTGTCAGTATGTGAGTATGTATGTACGTCAGTGTGTGTGTCTGTATGTCAATATGTGTGTGTGTGTATCTGTATCTCCTTATGCATGTGTATGTGTCTGTATATGTGTGTGTGTCTGTTTCAGTATGTGTGTCTGTTAGTATGTGTGTATATTTCTGTGTGTGTGTCTGTGTCCTTTTGTATCTGTGTGTGTATTCCTGTGGGTGGGATTTGGAGGAGGGGCTTGGAGACGGGCACCTGGCTGGGGGCCCAGACCTTGAGCTGTGTTAGGGGCCCCACAATTTCTGATGGCGGCCCTGGCTCCAACTATTCAGAGCGTGGCCATGATAACTGGCGGCAAAACTGAATCACAGAGTACTGGAGCTTGTAAGAGGACTTCCTGACTTCATGTACTTCTGACCTCAGCTGTGACTCTCGTATTGTTGCTTTCTGGGACCCGGATCCTTAATTGTCTTTGACTCTGGTAAGTTACCTGTTTTAATCTACTACTTATTTACCTTTGTTGTCCTGTGTTTAGCCTGGTCCTTATATACTCTGTCCTCCCTCTTTTATCTATCTCAGTTATTTGTGTTCCGTTATACCTGGCCATGACAGTATTTATGCATCATTATATTGGCACACATTTTGTTAATTCTGCTTCATAATTCGCTATATTTTTAATGTCTCACTTATAATAATAATAATAATAATACGTTGATGTACTAACAAAATCCAATCACCATTTCATCCTTACATCCATAAGTGAAGATTAATGGCCCAGGCATACATTGGAGCATTTATTATTACATATTCCATATTGTGTTGCACTCTCTTTCTTGTAAAACACGTATGTAAATATTCTGCAATTCATACCTAATAAGGACTGCATGACTCTAAGGTTGCTGCATACTTCATAGAGCTATGCTAAGAGTAGCAGGATTTCCACGACAAAGAGGAAAATGCCTCTTACAGTCTAAATCATATATTGAACTTCCTCTTAGATCTTTGGTACTGATGGTTGTAGATAATGGCCAGTTTTGTTCCTTTGCTACTTCAGCTGAGTTTGCTGATGTCCTCACAAGAGGTATTTACCATGTACCCAAAGATATGATCTTGCTATGCTTGAGCCAGTCCATGTTCCAATTATTCAGTCATTGATAATCTTCACCTGATTGACATCCACTGACAGCTTTTCGACAGAATTATCTAAACATTCCACATATAAGGTAATGATTATATTTGTCAGACTGCAGAGTCTTTGCACTAAAATCCCAACATTAAGTCATAGTGATTTCGATGCTTAAAGTGTCCTTTTAAAGATGAACTGTCACTTTACACCACTAAATAAAACATTTCAAAATCACCTATAACTTGTGTTAACCTTTTCCCAAGATGCTAAATATTATCAATTAGCACAATCGACCAGTCTTGACGCACTGACGAGTTGGAGCTCCATAACGCTGCTCCTGAAGGGCGTCCCAGGTGTTCCCGCCAGAATACACAGTGGATACTGCGAGAGGTACTGTGCCTGTAACACGGCCTGCAGCCGTTTCTCTAACAGACGCCTTACAACTAGCCCCTACCAGACATTATAGTTTGGGCTTCTTTGGCCTGCCTTCTCCCAAATTAAATCATAATCCAGCTCAGACGAGACAAAACCAGGGCAACTATTGCAAATGAGTATGAAAATAAACATTATTTTATTACTCCTCTTCTCTATATGCTTTATCCATGCTGTCTATCAGATGCAAAGGACAGAGCTTATAACAATGACTGAACGGGAGCTAAGATGGTGCCCAGTTGCTGGATAAACAGGTGTGGATTTCTACATTTCATCTTTCATACCTCACGTATTTTTTAAATACAGTTATAAGTATGCCCAATATTAAAAATCCAGAAAAGTAACAGTTTCCTTTTAATAGATTGTGTGGAGTTTGCTGATGTCCTCAATAGAGGCATTTACCATTTACCCAAAGATATGATCTTGCTATGCTTGAGCCAGTTCATGTTCCAATTATTCAATCCTTGATAATCTTCACCCGATTGACTTTCACTGAAAGCATTTTGACTACAACAGTCAACCAGAACTTGCGAATGGTGGGTACCTCTTAATTTCCCATAGCGGAGGAAATAGTACATGTTTTTATATCTCTTTCATAGTTAGACATAATTTATTCAGTGAAAAACTGTATCAAAAAATATATATAGGTGAAACAATGGAATGTATAAATTTCTGATGGCAATGTTACGTTAAACAGACAGGGACACTGAAAAAAAAAAACGTAATTCATGACCAGGTTGAAGAATTTAAATATGTTTTACATGTTATAAGTGCAGTATATTTACATGCTTAAAATATATTATCCCATTTTCTCTTAAAGATGTCATTGGCACAAAGTGAAGACTAAATTCTCCATACTTTGTCTTATGATTTGTTTTGACTTGGTTGGAATTCTAGTGAAATTCCAACACAGTCAATGTGGTATTTCATAAAAAATTATCCTTATGAAAAATGCATTTTTGGGTGTAATCAGACTTTTGAAAATTCACCAGTTTTTTTTTTTTTTAAGTATATATTACAAAGGAGGGGTTTGCTTAACTCTTATCTGAATACATAAGTCCAATCAATGAACAGGAAATAAATAGCACTAACCTGTTCAAGTGAAGAATTTGTTGCCCAAGGCAATGCAATTGAGATGACGGCAGTAAATATGAATAAAATTATGCAAAGAATTTCCATTGGGTGTACATTTATTGTCCACAATGTCTTATCAGGAAACAAGGGCCAGTCAAGACAAGCTGTGATCGCTTTACAGACAACTTGTCATCTATAAAACATGTGGATGACGAGGCGAGCTTTATGTAGATAATCATATGTAATATACACATTCTTCTAGCAATATTACAACCAAATGCATAGATTAAAATATACACACTCCTTAAGATCATAACATTGTCCTACGATGTCTTTGGGTGGAACTGGGGCTTTTTATAGCTAAGGCAATCAAGATATCAAATTTGAGAGGGGTCAGGTGAAGAATGGTAAATTTGGTCCAAGAATTGAAAAGTGAACGATATGATGAAACTGAAAAAAGCTGGGCATCTTGTGCAGGAAAACCAAAATAGTTGAATATTGGATGGAGTGTACTCTTGAGCATTATAGACGAAATCGGGCCATGGAAGCAATCACCACAAGTAGGTATCGCCTCACCTGCATTTAAAACAACTGCTGCGTGTACTGACTTTAAGCCATGCACATGCCCCCCAATGTTCTCAGAATACTATAACACTTGATATTAGAGAAACCACATGCACCATGAGACCAGAGTCCAATGCTTGGGAATGAGAAGGAACTTGTAGCCAGGTAGTGGGGCTTCAGTGAGATCATGATACATTTTTTGGAAAAAGTGATTATTTCCTTAAAACTGTAGGACTAATCTCTTATAAAACACCTACATTTTGATTGTCTATTAACTATTTAACCAATTAACCTGCAAATGATGTTTATTATGGCAATAAAAAGAAAAGCAATACATTAGAAGATTGTGTTTAATTTTTCTTAAATATAGTTACATATGTTACAAATATGGCTTGATAAACCTGAACATAATGTTTTTCTCTTTTTTCAAATGAGGATTTACATTAAATAAAAAAATAATCCCTTTCATAGCTGACTGACATTACTGCTGGTGTGATGTTTAAATTGTGTATTTACAGTTTCTTTGATTCTTAAATATCTTCTAAAATATTCTTAAATATATTAGACACAGGGCAGAATTCACAAAACAGACATAGGGCATGATGCATGAAATGTCTAATAGGAGCAATAATCCAAAATATAGCATTGTGAGAAGATTTTGTTGGCAAACTTGGCATCCACATCAGTAGCATCTAGCAATTAGTATCAACCAAAATATCTCCAAGACAAGGGGACTTTTGAGAGGTTATAAAGCCTCTCACCATATATAAAATGTATTAAAAATATACACTGCAAAGTTGGGGATTTCTTTTGCTTTGGCATATAACACTGAATCAGCCTTGTTTATGGCCATTCTAACGGATATTATGGTTAATATAATAGTTGTCCTTGCTTTTTCATTCAGCTTTCTTCACTTTTCTTTTCCGAGTTCCTTCATTCAGATCTTCCTTGGACTTTGCCACTGAGTGGGACACATCATGGTCGTCATGGTGATGGTGGTGGTCACCATGATCATCATGGTCACCATTAGGGTTACCAAAGAGGAAAGGGCAAATGAAAGCTTCAAGTGGGGCAAATGGAGATCCATGGGAATGAGTTGCGGTCATGAAGATCTGAACAAAGCAAGAAAAGGAAGCTGTTAATTTGGACATGAGATTGGTTCAATCTTATGTATAAGTGAAGAGACAATAATATGTTTATTTCACAGACATGCTCACACCTCTGGTATTCAAACATAAATAGGAAAAAATTATGTTTTTTTCCAGAAGATGTAAAAGACCATTTATATACAGTACACACAAAATTCTTCCAAAGCTCCAAGGTTCTAAAATGGGATCTACGGGACTGAAATTTTAGCAAACAGCATATAGCAACTGTAAGTTCCTAAAAATATAGAATGACATGAACTTTTTCCTAATTCTTATGACAAAATGATAAAAAAACAAACATAACATATTCTAGTGTTTTCAAACGTTAAAAGAACATAACCACTACAGCATGAGACAATAAAAGAGTAAACATGAAAAGGGTGGATGGGAAGCACCATGAAATGTGAACCATACCTTACAAGAAGCCATAAAGAGAGTAAAGAAGAAGATTAAGTTGGCTTTGGAGATGGGTAGCCAGTGGGACTGTTGGAGAGTAAACAGGATAGCTCCATAAAGACTGGCCTTAGTTGGGCTGTAAGGAGACATAACATTGTATATCAATCTGGTTTCAAATGTTGCAGAACAATCAGAAGCTCATTATAACAAGGTACACACTCACAATGACATATGGAGAATCTCATTGGTCTCTGGCTTCCAGACGCCACGTAAAAGTTGTTCCAAGTTAGACATCAGGGCTACTCCCGAACCTGAAAAAAAACCAGTATGTGCATTGGATGTTAACAAAGGCTGGACTGGTGAACAATAAATTACTTTGTAAATAGTATTACAGTGAACAAACACAACATTGTCTATACAATTTTGGGTAACAAATAACCACAAAAGAGATGAATACACACTCTTATAATGGTCCCGGTGCTTCCAGACCTGGAGCTGGCTCACCTCCTATTCCAAAAATAAAACAAAAGTATGGTCTAGGCACTCAGGGTCTTGTGCAGCAGTTTTATTGGAAAACAGAATCAAAGTGCAACGGTTCGATCTCCAAAATGCAACATGAACAATTTATATAAGGCATACAATTAAGCAATAGATTATTACGCGATTATTATGCCTCTGGTGGACAAAGCTCGTACGTCACATGTGACTTACAAACTTTGTCCCAGTCACGCCACCCACCAGGTCCGCTTCTGCCAGAAAGCGTTTGGGACCCGGCTGGCCGCGGTATTCCCACATCGCAAGAGGAATGCCACCGAGTACTTACCTCTGGTCACAACACCTGCCGGGTCCGCTCCTGCCAGAGAGCGGACAGGGACCTAGCGGGTGCATCCTGTTGCGGCAGCATTCCCACATGGCAATGCCGCCAATTACTCACCTCCTCCTGCGGCACCCGCTGGCCTCACTGACAGGCACTCCTCTCCTCACACAGCGGCCGGGTCTGTAAACATTAGAGATGCTGGACAGTGCAAGTAAGAACCTTTTAAGGTTCTTAATTATCCCTTAAGTGTATAACCACTCATATGCTACTCTGCAGCCAATCAAGGAGTACCTTAGGCTATTTAAACCTTTTTTGTCCATTTCTCTGTGCTCGGTCGTGGTTTCCATTCTGGTTATCCAAAAGCGCGTTTCTGGTATTGTTTCTTGTGTATTTTGACCTTGGCTTTCTTACTGACTATTCTGATCTCTGTATCCCTTGAACTTTGGCATGGCTCCTGACTATTCTGACTTCTGTATTCATTGACCTTTGGCTTACCTACCGTTTTCCTGACCTCAGCCTGTCTTGTGCTCAGGGCCGGACTGGGAATTAAAAGCAGCCCTGGAAATAAATTATTTAGTGTGCAGATACAGAGTTAGAAAAGAGAATTAAAAATTTAAAATTATTACTCCAACGTGAAAAAAGCACATATAGGCTTCAAAAGAGTGCAGATTTATTTTAAGCAGACATGCCTTTGCATATAACCAATGTTTCAGTCCAACTACCATGACATATTAAGGAAAGCTTGGTAATGGGACTGAAATGGCGAATGTATGTAGGGCACAACTGTAAAAAATTACGTTATCTTGTTTATTTTAAAGTCCTGTGGTGCGCTCTTCACTTTAAATATGTTATTGTGCTGGAGTATGCATCTAGCAACAAGACTGGGCCAATATCTGCTCATTACATATGGTACATATCAATGACATTTCTCTGTGTATTATGCATATATAAATGTACATTAATATATGTGTAAATATAATAGGCATAATTTTATATATATATATATATATATATATATATATAACTAATACACACATTAATATACATTATATATATATATATATATATACCAGTGGCAGATCCAGAGCCTGATTTCGGGAGGGGCACTTATAGATTATTTAAAGAAATAATCCATGCACAATAACCACTACTGCTCTGTGTAGTGGTTATGGTGCCAGGAGTGCCAGGACCCGCTCCTAGAGTAAGTAGTCAAACCATTTAAGAACAGTTTGACAACTTACCTGGGGTCTGCTGGGATATGGGGCTGTAGTAGGGTATAGGAGCAGTTGTGCAATGTGTGAGGGGTGCAGTTTGTGTGAAAGGGTGTGTAGGGTGTGTGGGGCAATGTGTGTATGGGTGGCTGTGTGTGTGTGTGGGCCAATGTTTGTATGGGAGGAACGCGGCGGGCCCCCTCTGAGTGTGCCACCGGACCAGCCACCCGGTGGCACCTACCTGCGCAGCCCCCAGATGCCGCGGCCCACCGGGAAATTTCCCGGTATCCCGGTGGGCCAGTCCGGCCCTGCTTGTGCTTTTCATTTTATACATTAAATCTGGCCGTTCTAAGGCCCGGTAATACGCCTTAGTGTTTTTTTTATTTTTACTTAAGTTCTGCGTGTTTGGCATATTAGTGTATCCTGACAGTCCCCCAGAGGCTACCGTTACTACAAATAAATCTCGGTCGGTACCTGTAGTTTGGGAGAGCACCTTTATAAAATAGAACAGGTGAGATTTAACTCGTCTTTATTATATTAGATTGTTTTTTTCCTTTTTTTTAAATCATGTATTAATTAATTTAGTTTTTTCTTTTCCCACATGAGTTAAAATAATAATAATAAAACTACTGCACAAGACCCTGAGTACCTGGACCATACTTTAATACAATTTTGGGGACATTTTCTACTTGTTACTGGTGTTCAGACGCACCTTTCACCCATCCAATCAGCACCATAACGACCCATCCATGGTGATAATGGTGGTGAGCATGATGGATTCCTATAGCAATCTTACGGACCCGGACTACTTCCTTCATAGCGACAAAGATGAGTTTCACTGGCAGAAAGCTAACACACTTGTAAAACAGATTAAGGGGGCAGAAAAACATCAGGTACCTACAACAGAGACAATTAAAAAAAGAAAAGTACAATTTAGTTACAGGACTACAGTTTAATAACGCTCAGACAACGTATAGCTAGGATTTCATTTAAAGTGAAATATGTACATTAGTTAACATCCCATCAACAGACTGGGTCGTAGTGTCAGTCAATATCCAAGCACAAAAGGTACGGATAGTATTAGATAATGACAGCTGCAAGAGAGGAATTAGTCGGGAGCTCTTAACAGTTTAATTGATGCGCTTTTATGAAGAAGTGGGGTTTTAATGATTTTTTGAAGGAGTGCACACAGGGTGAGCAACTAACGGAGGAGGGAAGTGATCTCCACAGCAATGGTGCAGCCCTCGAAAAGTCTTGAAGGCGAGCATCATAGGTGGGAGTACGAACAGAAGATAGACGTAAGTCTGCAGCAGAACGTAAGGATCTAGATGGGACATACTTGTGTATTAGAGAGGATAGATAGGTGGGAGCAGCATTATGTCGAGATTAGAAAGCAAGAACCAGGATTTTAAATGGAGCCCTTACAGGGACCGCCGCATTCATTATGGACTGTAACGATGCAAGTTGGGAGCACATAAGACCACTGAGAAGTGGATTACAGTAGTCAAGGCGAGAAAGCACAGTGGAATGGACCAGCACCTTAGTCGCATCTGGCGTTAAGTAGGGTTGGATGCGCACAATGTTTTTGAGATGGAAGCGGCAGGATTTGGCGATAGACTGAACATGAGGCGTGAAGGGTAAGTCAGAGTCAAAGAGAACACCTAGGCAGGGAGTCTGAGTGGTGGAGCTGATGTTAGCACTGTTGACTTGGAGGGAGACAGACACCGGAGTAGCAACACTTGAGGGAGGAAAGACCAGAATTTCAGTTTTGGTCAAGTTGAGTTTAAGGAAGTGGGCAGCCATCCAGTTAGAAATAGCAGAGAGGCAGTCAGAGACACTAGTCAAGAGGGACGGGGAGAGATCAGGAGAGGGCAGATAGATTTGCGTGTCATCCGCATAGAAATGATATTGGAAGCCAAAGGAGCTAATGAGTTTACCAAGGGAGGCAGTATAGATGGAGAACAGTAGGGGACCAAGGACTGAACCTTGGGGGACACCAAGAGAGGGGAGTTGGGGAGAAGAAGCAGAGCCAGAGAAAAAAACACTGAAAGAGCGCTGGGAGAGGTAGGAGGAGCACCAGGAGAGAGCAATATCTTGTAGACCAATATTGCGGAGAATGAGAAGAAGCTGTTGATGATCAACAGTGTCAGAAACTGCAGAAAGGTCAAGGAGAATTAGGATAGAGTAGTAACCACGAAATTTTACAGCGAGTAGATCATTGCATACTTTGGTCAGTGCCGTTTCCTCAGAGTGCTTAGCGTGAAAACCAGACTGAAGAGGGTCTAACAGAGAGTTGGACTCAAGGAAGTCTGTCAATCTCGCATACACAACTCTTTCAAGGATCTTGGACACAAAAGGCAGTAGTGAGATAGGACGGTAGTTGGACGGGGAGTTAGGGTTAAGGTTGGGCTTCTTTAGAATTGGGGTTATAGTTGCATGTTTGAATTACAATGTGACTGTTGAAAGACTGTGTGTAATGACAGCTATTTCATTTTAATTACATGTTTCTTTGTTCAAATATATCCCTCTTTTAAATATGATGTTATAACAAGAAGATTTCAATGATATAAAAATCATTTATTTTTACTGTTTCTGTTCTTGAGCCTGTTTGATCATTGTGTCTTGTCCGTGGGTTACATTTAGTTATATTTGCATTTTTAAAAAAGATTTTGCTAAAAATATTAAAGGGACTTAAGCAGGGGGAACTAGGTCTGCCAAATCTAAAAGCTTATTACCGAACACCTTTTATGAGTACTGCTATCTCTACCCAATTGCAATCCACAGTCTCTCAGTGGGTGGAGGTAAAGGCCTATTGGACTATACAAAGAGGCTTACACCACCTCTTTTGACTTCCTTGTCATATAAGGCCCCCTGCAAAATGTAACCTCCCACAAAACTGATACTTAATACGTGGGATCTTCTACAAGATACCTTTTGTGGATATTCCACTATATCATTGGCTGCACCACTGCATTCAATCTCAATAGGCTTGCCGACCTGTAATCATAAACCCTGGTCCACAGAGGGAGTTACTCACTTGGACCAACTTTTCCCTAATGGCTCACTGAAACCATATGCTGAACTGTAAACCCAGTTTAAACTGGTTAGTTACACCAGAGTCTCCTATTTGCAACTTAAAGCCCTATTGTACAGCATGAAAGCAAATTTGAGTCATCAGTTGTCAGACCTGCCCTATCTCCTTTTGAGAAAATGTGTTTGCAATTGAGACCAAATAAAAAGGTATTCTCTGTATATTGTAGAATTGTGAATGGGGTGCGTCTAAAAGTCTTGAATAATTTTGGACTGGAGAAGTCATTATAAGTTGCATTTTAGGTTGAACTTCAGGGAGACCACTTGAAGTTTCGTTACAATTGCTTTTGTTTGATTTGTTCATTGCAAACAGCTGAAATTCTGTAAATTTTGACAATTAACCTGATTTTCAATGGGGGTCGAATAATTTTGATTGCAACTGTATATATAATTAGAATATCAACCATTCTTCAATTATAACATTAGTTCAAAAAGCTGTTTTTTGAACAAGGTTATAATTGTCAACATTACGGTTGAGATTGCAGCAGATAAATTAGACACGCAGGTCTCAATGGCTTGTGCATGGTAACAGATTAAGCAGCATATTGCAGCCAATACGGGTCCTATAATTCAGGCTAAGTATCAGGCTAAGTATCCTTGTAACATTTTGCAATAACAGCAGGGACAGTATACTGATTGTTTCCATGTAACAGAACAGCAATATGTTTGTGAGGCAGTTGCAACATTCAGTAGTACGTTCGTAAGTGGAACAAATATATTAGACACAGAGGTCCCTATAACAAGGTATAATAAGGTCAATATTGTAAGCATCAGGAAGTGGCAAGGAATCTGTCTAGAATGCATGCTAAGTGTCAATGTAATGTATATGATTGTACAAGAATAATAGAAACAGTGTCCTAGCTTGCTCCATGTAGCATGAGGTGGGAAAGGAGGAGGGGAAAGATAGAAGATGCAGTCACCGTAGCGAAAAATTAAAAAGTCAAAGAGACAAACAAGAAATAGGGGGGAAGAGAAGGTGGTGGGAGATGGTTAAGTGGAGTAGAAAGTGGCGTGGGGGGAGGGTTGGGAGCTAGCCCGCCTGCCTAGAGCATGTGGGGTTGTCCTTCATAAAAACATAGAAACATAGAATGTGACGGCAGATAAGAACCATTCGGCCCATCTAGTCTGCCTAATTTTCTAAATACTTTCATTAGCCTTATCTTATAGTTAGGATAGCCTTATGCCTATCCCACGCATGCTTAAACTCCTTTACTGTTTTAACCTCTACCACTTCAGCTGGAAGGCTATTCCATGCATCCACTACCCTCTCAGTAAAGTAATACTTCCTGATATTATTTTTAAACCTTTCTCCCTCTAATTTAAGACTATGTCCTCTTGTTATGGTAGTTTTTCTTCTTTTAAATATAGTTTCCTCCTTTACTGTTTTGATTCCCTTTATGTATTTAAATGTTTCTATCATATCCCCCCTGTCTCGTCTTTCCTCCAAGTTATACATGTTAAGATCCTTTAACCTTTCCTGGTAAGTTTTATCCTGCAATCCATGAACCAGTTTAGTAGCCCTTCTCTGAACCCTCTCTAAGGTATCAATATCCTTCTGAAGATACGGTCTCCAGTACTGTGTACAATACTCCAAGTGAGGTCTCACCAGTGTTCTGTACAATGGAATGAGCACTTCCCTCTTTCTACTGCTAATACCTCTCCCTATACAACCAAGCATTCTGCTAGCATTTCCTGCTGCTCTATTGTCTGCCTACCTTTAAGTCATCAGAAATAATCACCCCTAAATCCCTTTCCTCAGATGTTGAGGTTAGGACTCTATCAAATATTCTGTACTCTGCCCTTGGGTTTTTACGTCCAAGATGCATTATCTTGCACTTATCCACATTAAATGTCAGTTGCCACAACTCTGACCATTTTTCTAGTTTACCTAAATTATTTGCCATTTGGCTTATCCCTCCTGGAACATCAACCCTGCGACATATCTTAGTATCATCAGCAAAAATACATACCTTACCATCAAGACCTTCTGAAATATCACTAATAAAAATATTAAAGAGAAGGGGTCCAAGTACAGATCCCTGAGGTAACCCACTGGTGACAAGCCCAAGCTTCGAATATACTCCATTGACTACAACCCTCTGTTGCCTGTCACTCAGCCACTGCCTTACCCATTCAACAATATTGGAATCCAAACTTAAAGATTGCAGTTTATTGATAAGCCTTCTATGTGCAACAGTGTCAAAAGCCTCACTGAAATCTAGGTAAGCAATGTCTACTGCACTACCCTGATCTATAATTTTAGTTACCAAATCAAAAAAATCAATAAGATTAGTTTGGCATGATCTCCCTGAAGTAAACCCATGTTGTCTCTGATCTTGAAATCCATGTGTTTTTAGATGGTCAACAATCCTATCCTTTAACATGGTTTCCATCACTTTCCCCACTACTGAAGTAAGGCTTACTGGCCTATAGTTACCCGACTCCTCCCTATTACCTTTCTTGTGAATGGGCACTAACTTCCAATCTTCTGGGACTACTCCTGTTAACAATGATTGGTTAAATAAATCTGTTAATGGTTTTGCTGGTACACCACTAATCTCTTTTAATAGCTTAGCATCAGGTCCCATTGACTTATTTGTCTTTACTTTTGACAGTTGAAATAGAACCTCTTCCTGTGTAAACTCACGTGTAATAAATTACTCATTTATCCTTTTTCTTAACTGAGGTCCCTTTCCTTTTTTTTCAGTTGTAAATACCAAACAAAAATATGAATTGAGGCAGTCAGCTAGACCTTTATCCCCTTCTACATACCTTCCTTCTTTTGTTTTTAATCTAACTAATCCTTGTTTTACTTTTCTTTTCTCATTTATGTATCTAAAAAAAGTTTTGTCCCCCTTTTTTACTGACGGTGCTATTTTCTCTTCTGTGTGTGATTTGGAAACTCTTATAACTTGCTTAGCCTCTTTCTGCCTAATCTTATAGATCATTCTGTCTTCCTCACTCTGGGTTTTTTTATAATTACTAAATGCTAACTTTTAGTTTTTTTACTATTTTGGCCACATCTGCGGAGTACCACAGTGGTTTCTTGAATTTTTTGCTTTTACTGACAAGCCTAATGCAATTTTCTGTTGCCTTCAGTAGTGCAACTTTTAAATAATCCAATTTCTCTTGGACTCTATTTAAATTGCTCCAGTCTGATAATGACTCCTTTACACATATTCTAATTTCAGAAAAGTCTGGTTTTCTACAGTCTTAAACTTTTGTTTTTGTGTGGTGTGACTCAGTCACTGTTCTTATATTAAACCACACTGAATGATGATCACTGGATCCTAAACTTTCACCTACAGTAATATCTGATACCAAATCTCCATTTGTTAACACTAAATCTAGTATGGCCTTTTTACGAGTTGGCTCCTCAACGACTTGTTTTAGAGACAATCCCAGTAGGGAGTTTAGAATATGTGGCACAAGTAGCTATTTTTGTTTTCCAATTCACATCAGGAAGATTAAAGTCACCCATGATGATAACTTCCCCCTTCATTGTCATTTTAGCTATTTCTTCAACTAGTAGATTATCTAACTCTTCAATTTGTCCTGGGGGCCTATAAATCACACCTACACGAGTTACTGTGTGATTACCAAATTCTAACATAACCTAAACGGACTCTATGTTCGCCTCACTAACTTTTATTAGGCTAGATTTTATGCTATCCTTTACATATAGGGCCACCCCTCCCCCTTTCTTGCCTTCACTGTCTTTTCTATATAAAGAGTACCCTGGTATTGCTATGTCCCAGTCATTTTTCTCATTATACCATGTCTCAGTAACAGCGACTAAATCTACACTATCAGTTGCCATTATTGCCACAAGTTCATGGATCTTATTCCCTAAACTGCGAGCATTTGTAGACATGACTCTAAGCTTATCATTTTTAACACACTTGCTACAGGCACCTTCTGTCCTTGTTTTGGGGGACAATTGGATTGATGTTTTATCACCCTTTTGCCCCCCTCTCCTAGTTTAAATACATCCTAGCAAAACCTCTGAACTGCTCACTGAGAACATTTGTTCCCTTTTGAGAAAGATGCAAACCATCTTTTTTGTACAGCTTATCTCCATTCCAAACAGAGCTACCATGAGAAATAAAGCCAAATCCTTGCTCCCTACACCATTCACCAAGCCACAAATTAAAGTCCCTAATACGCATCCGCCTGTCGTTCTGAGTGTTATGCACAGGCAGAACTTCAGAGAATGACAGTGTGGAAGCAACCTGCCGTATATCATTGGCAAAAACACTAAAAACTTCCTTAACCTCTGAAACCTCATTGCAAGCCAAGTCATTTGTCTCTAGATGGACAAATATATATCAAAATCAGTTATATACAGTTGCAAGAAAAAGTATGTGAACCCTTTGGAATGATATGGATTTCTGCACAAATTGGTCATAAAATGTGATCTGATCATCATCTAAGTCACAACAATAGACAATCACAATCTGCTTAAACTAATAACACACAAAGAATGAAATGTTGCCATGTTTTTATTGAACACACCATGTAAACATTCACAGTGCAGGTGGAAAAGTATGTGAACCCTTGGATTTAATAACTGGTTGAACCTCCTTTGGCAGCAATAACTTCAACCAAACGTTTCCTGTAGTTGCAGATCAGATGTGCACAACGGTCAGGAGTAATTCTTGACCATTCCTCTTTACAGAACTGTTTCAGTTCAGCAATTTTCTTTGGATGTCTGGTGTGAATCGCTTTCTTGAGGTCATGCCACAGCATCTCAATCGGGTTGAGGTTAGGACTCTGACTGGGCCACTTCAGAAGGCGTATTTTCTTCTGTTTAAGCCATTCTGTTGTTGATTTACTTCTATGCTTTGGGTCATTGTCCTGTGGCAACACCCATCTTCTGTTGAGCTTCAGTTGGTAGACAGATGGCCTTAAGTTCTCCTGCAAAATGTCTTGATAAACTTGGAAATTCATTTTTCCTTCGATGATAGCAATCCGTCCAGGCCCTGACGCAGCAAAGCAGCCCCAAACCATGATGCCCTCACCACCATACTTCACAGTTGGGAAGAGGTTTTGATGTTGGTGTGCTATGTCTTTTTTTCGCCACACATAGTGTTGTGTGTTTCTTCCAAACAACTCAACTTTGGTTTCATCTGTCCACAGAATATTTTGCCAGTACTGCTGTGGAACATCCAGGTGCTCTTGTGCAAACTGTAAACGTGCAGCAATGTTTTGTTTGGACAGCAGTGGCTTCCTCTGTGGTATCCTCCCATGAAATCCATTCTTGTTTAGTGTTTTACGTATTGTAGATTCGCTAACAGGGATGTTAGTATTTGCCAGTGACTTTTGTAAGTCTTTAGCTGACACTCTAGGATTCTTCTTCACCTCATTGAGCAGTCTGCGCTGTGCTCTTGCAGTCATCTTTACAGGACGGCCACTCGTAGGGAGAGTAGCAGCAGTGCTGAACTTTCTCCATCTATAAACAATTTGTCTCACCGTGGACTGATGAACAGCAAGGAGATACTTTTATAACCCTTTCCAGCTTTATGCAAGTCAACAATTCTTAATCGTAGGTCTTCTGAGAGCTCTTTTGTGCGAGGAATCATTCACATCAGGCAATGCTTCTTGTGAAAAGCAAACCCAGAACTAGTGTGTGTTTATTTATAGGGCAGGGCAGCTGTAACCAACACCTCCAATCTCATCTCATTGATTGGACTCCAGTTGGCTGACATCTCACTCCAATTAGCTCTTGGAGATGTCATTAGTCTAGGGGTTCACATACTTTTTCCACCTGCACTGTGAATGTTTACATGGTGTGTTCAATAAAAACGTGGCAACATTTCATTCTTTGTGTTATTAGTTTAAGCAGACTGTGATTGTCTATTGTTGTGACTTAGATGATGATCAGATCACGTTATGACCAATTTGTGCAGAAATCCATATCATTCCAAAGGATTCACATACTTTTTCTTGCAACTGTAAATTACCTTCATTAGATTCATCCCAGTTTCTCTGGGTCTTTATTGGACTGAGCTCGCTCTCCTCCCCGAAGTGAGCTGAGCCACAAACTGTATACTGTATATTTTATTATATTGTTACTATTACACCATAGTTTTAGTTTAATAATGTTTGAGTTTGATGTAAAAGGGTATTGTTAGTACCATCTATTCAAATCAATGATTATGCCAAAGCCATTATCATGCTGACTGTGAGCAGCCATAAATCCACTTACCAAACAGCTGACGCCAGAAGTATGTTGGCATTATTGCTGAAATAATGAATAGGAGAATCTCCCAGGAGGACATCTGCAAGGATATAACTCCCAAAACAGTATAGCATTGCACAGAGCCATGATGCCACTGGACTACGACGGGAAAGATTCACAGCACCTTAAATGGACATAACAAAACAAGGAATATCATAAATACAAATAATCTCCACTGAAACACAATGGCCAGATATATTAATGGAAAACATGAAAATGTATCACACATTAAAGACATATCTGTATAACTGTAAACTCTGGGATAAACCCTGATATAATGTATATTAAACAAGTACAAACAAGTCTACAATCAGGAACAAGTCAGGAGCCACCAATATACCTACAAGGTGCTTACAAATAATGAATTCAATATTTTAGAGGGGTAGAATAAAACATAGCAATTATGATACATCATAATTATTTAACATTAAAGAGACATTTAACTATGCATTTTTTTCATTGGGGATATATCTAAAAACAGCTTGCATAACCATAGTTTTGAGCAGGCAGAATATACAGCATATTAATCAAATACATTAAAGCTTTATTGATGCCTGAAGTGTCTCTTTATGCAAGAGCATATAGAACAGCCTAATGACAATTCTGGCATTCCTAGACCGACAGAATCTAATGCAATATCAAATCTCTGGGCAGTTTTCACCTGGTTCCTCCTATTCTGAGTTTATTTGCCAAGATGATCTTAGTGAAGCAATGGTGCCCTACGGGGCATGATTGCCACTCTCAGCCATTGCCATTCTTCTCATAGAAAAGCATCTAAATTAAATTTTCTTTGTGAGAAGTGTTCATAGTATTGGCAATGCCATGAGTGAAGACTTTCAAAAATTGTTGAAAGTTTTCAATAAGGGAGCACCTCTTCAGCTCTATAAACACCTCTTCAGCTCTATAGGCACCTATATCATTTCATCTCGATTAACTGGTCTGGTTGCCACATCCATGTAGTTTTAACCCTGCAACTGAAAACATTGCCATTCTGCAGGAATGGCAATGCTTACATTGCAGGGTTAACCTACCTCTAGTGGCTGTCTTCCAGACAGACACTAGAGGCACTTCCACCACAATAGCGGACTTCAACTCGGCTGTTCAATCAGATAATCTCATATAGACCATCTGATTGGCCAGCCAAAGAAACAGGGCGGCAAGACTCACCCTTTAAACCCTCCCACGGTTCGGGGGACAACGAAACCAGAATAGATAGATTAAAACTATACATGTTTGTTCACCTAACATTATAGTGTACCTTTAAGACCAAATGCAAACTGTGCCCCTTCACTGAAACAGCAATGATTTACATGCTAAGTAATGCACAGCTGCTTGAACATGACATCTGACTTCATATGAAAGATATAGAGGAATAGGAACAGTCGAAGGCTGTATATATTTGTATTAGGTGTCTGTAATGTCAGAAGCACTTAAAAACTTTAAAACTCTAAAAGTGTTTATTGTGTTTACTTGTCTTCATAGTTATAGTATAGCTATAGTTATTCTCAGCTTATTTTTTTATTCTGAGTCTTATGGCAATGAAGATGTAGAAAATAACACTCAGATTGAGCAGTCTTTGGAGTAGACAGAAAGCTGATGCCTTGGCATTGTGCTATAAATAGGAGACAGGTCACTGTAGAGCAGTGGCTGCAACACATGTCACTGGTCGTCATGAATAATGACAAGAACAAGGCAGAAACACAGAGTGTAGACCAGGAGAAGGTCTTACAGGTCCATAATGAGTCCTACTGGGCAAATGGATGAGCTGAATATCAAAATATCCACCTACCATGACAACAAGGACAGACCTCGTTGTCACTAGAGTAGTAAACCATTCACATTTTGATATATGTTCCTGAGCTAAGGTTCTTCCCCCACAATCTTTATTTTCAGTATGTACAATATATATTACTGTTTGTGGAGGACTATTATCATGTGCTACACAAATTCATATACACAAAATAAATATAAACGCAATATTTCAAGAGGCACTGTCACCAACTCAAAGCTAGCTACTATTTGTGCCATTTAAAAGAAAAAACAACCTCACTAGTTTAATTTTTTTTTTAAATTTACATATAAATTAATTAACTTTTGAAGTGCCTATACGCACAGTGCAAGCACTCGTACAGCAATGCTGAAGAAAATGCTATAGACGTGTGCTTGTACAGAATTTCTACGTAGATGCCTGAGGGTGCATGAGGCCACCCAAAAACATCATGGAGCAACATGTAAGTAAGTTTTTTTAATTAACTCTGCTGCCTCATTTACTCCAATAAAAGCAGGAATAGTGTTCACATGGGTGAGAGCAGTACCATAAATGTACTAATTATAAAAAGTACATGTTTTTTGAGTACTTTAGTTTTTTTGAGCCACCTGTGTAGCTGTCAGGTTGTGCATAACAAATGAATATGCACATTTTAACCACATTTTCAAATATTATACCAACAACATCAAAAGATGATGATGATGATAATAATAATAATTCCCTTGTATTGACTTGATTGATTGTCACATACTTGAAGAGGTCTCATAAGCAACGCAGGTTTTATTTTTTTGACAATCTTTATTTCAAGACTTTTCAATTTCCACACACAGTAAAGATACTTAGGTTGAAAAGATGGTAGAATACAATAAAAGAGAGAAGCTGCCATCTCCAACAATTTCCTGTGAACACTGTTTATGAGCACTGCCCAGTAAGTGTGCCAAACTTGTTGGAGGGCAGGTGACAATGTTCCTGGCTTTGGGTATTCACCCAATCAGGAAGCCCCGGTTTAAGAACACAAGACAGGGAGAACACACTGCTTACTGAGTTGCAAACCCAAACATAATGGAAGAGGTCATGATATAGTGTCTACAGAACCTAGTACCAAGCATTCCCTCTGGACATACATGGATTTCAGGGGTACCCCAGTTCGGTATGTTTAGCATTGTTATTTGCTAGAGATGCTATCAAGGCTTCAGAGACCTTCATTGCTTCCACCCGAGACAACCATTGTTTAGTTTTTAGTGCTTCAGGTTGTTGTTTTAATAGTGTTGTTTTAGATACAGTACCGGGCACTTTATTGTATTATTAACATACTTTCTTTCTATTTTGACCCTAAATTTAGTCTAGTATTTTTGTACACCTAATAAAGGCAAGTAAACACAGTAAACACCTTTAGAGTGTGAAGGACTATGTTGCATTTTATCATCTACTGCAAAGTTTTGAAGTGCTTCCTACATTTCTAGACACCTAATAAAAATATGTAGAGCCTTCGACTGTTCCTGTTCTTCATTCTCCATTAAGTCATATGTCATGTCCAAGCAGCTATGCATTACATACTGAATTTCTTCCACCCTAGACAACCAATGCTGTTTAGTGGGTACTTCAGCGCTTCGGGGCATTTCCATGGGGCAGGCACAAGTGACTTTGCTGCATGCAATAAAAATATATATTTTTTTACATTTAGACATGGGAACAGGAGTATTGTTAAGCAGAATGTTTTCAAATGCAAATAAAGGTGGTGTCTCGAAAATATCAGTGAGAGAGTATCCCTATTCATTTGCAAAAATGGTTTAATAAGTTGGAAATCCCACCATATGTTGTATAAATCCTAACTACCCTTCGCCCCTATAGCAGTTAAGGGAAATACAAGGGGAAATCCTGTAAAAAGATTCAGGGGTGTAGTACCAAAGGGAAAGTAATTTGTAGTTGACTTTCTGGTACTTGGAACTGATAAAATTCTTCTGATGTAGAAGAAAGGCATTAGCTCACTGTTGTCCATGAAGGATGTATTCAGGATCCTTTCCCATTCTTATTTAAATGAATAAAAGGTTCTTAACTCTCTTCTATCAATAAGTGCAGATAAAGGCTAGATATGACCCTCACAAGGTCGCTGCAACCCCAAAGTACTGAGCCTCAAACCATGTTAAAGGGACACTATAGTCATCAGAACCACTAAAGCTTAATTTCTTTTCAGAGAACAGGATATTAATTTGCTGCAGAGGGATTATGATAGATTAGTAGTCTGGGCACTCAAATGGCATATGAAATTTAATGTAGATAAATGAGAAGTTATGCACTCTGGGGTTATGAATGCACAAGCAACACCCAAAATAATCCTATGTCCAACAGTAGTTGTATATATATATATATATATATATATATATATATATATAGCCTCATAAGTCCCTTGAAGGCCAGACAGGGTTTCAGTGGTTTCAGTGTGGTAATCTGTAGGGTCCCTAACTTCTCTCTCCACCGATGTCATGTGGCCTCCGAGTTTGTGTATCTCTTTCTGGACCTTCCCCACCTCCGTTGCTAGTATCTGCTTCAGGTCCCTGAGAAAAGCTTTAATGTCTCACTTAGTGAAGGGAATTGTGTCTTCCTTGTGCGAGGAAGGGTGGTAAAAGCCCGATGAGGGCAAGTCACCAGATGCATCCAACACCTGCTCTTCCGAGGATGAAGATTCCTCCACAGGCGCAGCCACTCGCTTAGAAGAATGCCTGCTTAGGACTCAGGACAGATAGTCGCCGATTTCTCGGGAACCTGTAGCTGGTGTGGCATGCAACTTCTTTGAGCACCTTCCCATGTTGGTAGGAGCCTTTAAAATTTCAAATATATTTACAAAATGATGGACGCTAAAATACACAGCATCTTGACTGGATATGTGCCCCAAATTATCTTTGTCTCCTAATAATACATCCAAATACCCCTTACAGCTACATGTAAATCGGAAATATAATGGCAGTAATCACTTCTTAATGCAGCTCAATTAAAGACTTGCTCAAGCCAAAGTCTTCCTTTTTAAAATCAACATTTTAACAGACACAACAAGCCAATAGTCATTAGAGTAAGAACAAATGAAACCCTCCCAAAATTTTCACAAGATCATAAAATAACATAGTGATATTGCTGCAATAGGTGTAGATAATAAACAGATGTTTCTGTGAGCAGGTATTAGTGCTTGATATGGTGTCTGGTTAATGGGAGCTTGGATAAACAGCAGCAAAATTATCTGGTCAAGTTTTAAAGATGAGAGGGTGATAAAGATTGTGAAAGTCTTGTATGATAGAGATTACAGTGTGGATCCTAGCTAACCCAAGATATAGTTTCAATTACTGTATCAATTGCTAAACATCAGGGTTCAATAAACCCTATGATCCTCTTGCGTCTCCAAAACTGAGGCTAAGTCTTGGAACAAGGATGTTGTGACAGAGCAAATACCATACCGAAGTGCAACCCAAACACAGTCGAACCAAAGTTTGGGTGGCCATTTTGAATTCTTTGCCCAAAAACAGTGTTGATATCTACTCTTCAGCAAGCATCCCCTCCATAAAGTTTTTTCACTAAATTTAAAGTACTGAAGTGTTTTATAACAACTGAAAATTGTTTATCTCCATGGCATTTAAGCATCATAATGATGGTAAATTATATAATCAGCAAAGACATACGAGCTGAAAATGCCTTCAATTGAGATGTATAAATACACAATAAATTAATGGATTAGTTTAGGGTATTGTGATTTGGGGTACTATCACCTATGTGTTCACATTAAACACACAAATAAAATCAATCAATAGTGAGAGCACACAAAATAAAAACAAGGTTTTTACCACAAGTTGTACAGTTAAAACCTATAAAAAAAAAAAAACATTAAAAAGACCATAGGGTAATACAATAAAACACCAATATTTTATAAAACCTAAGTTTGGTCATACTCACATAGTGCTGAGCCACTCAAATAGCTGTCTCAGACTCAGGGCCAGTGCAAGGATTTTTGCCGCCATAGGCAAAAAAAATTTGCCTCCCCATTCGCTCCACAGTGGTCATGTATGCTTAACCCCACAAGATAAAACATTGCCTTACCTTAAAGGGTTAAACAAGCCTCTACTAGCTGTCACACTGACAGCCACTAGAGGCGCCTTCGCTAAAATGCCATGTTTAACTTTGAGAAGCATTGGAAGTGCATAGCGCTTGCCACTGATGCGCATCAGGTCCCCAATGCTCCTGTATGAGGAACATTGGATTGGACCTGCATTGCCCAATCAGTGACATTGAGCAAGGTTAGGAGGCACGCAGTGCAGAGGGGGGCTTACATCTATGTAGGGACAGAGACACTATAGTATTTAGAATACAGGTTTATATTCCTAACACTATAGTGTTTCTTTAAAAGTACTGATCTTTTTCTATTTTTTTTATTTTTTTATTATTAAAATCCTTTTTGCCCAAATGCAATCACTGATATATACATACTATCACGCACTCACTCATTGACTCACTCACACTGAATGGTCTAATCACAATCAGTGACCAATGCACACACAAATTCACTGACTCATGCAGAGTGACACACACACTGACATATGCAGACTGACACACACACTGGCCCAAGCAGACACATACACACACACTTACCCAAGCAGACACACACACACACACTGAACCATGCAGACACATACACACACTGACCCAAGCAGACACACACACACTGACTGATGCAGACTGACACACACACACTGACCCAAGCAGACACACACACACACACATTAACTGATGCAGACTTACACACACACACACACTGACTGATGCAGACACACACACTGACCCAAGCACACACACACTGATCCAAGCACACACACACTTACCCAAGCAGACACCCACACACACTGACCCAAGCATAGACACACACACACTGACCCAAGCAGGTTGATACACATTGTTTAAATCACACACACACACTATTAAGTCCCCCTCTTGCCTTCATTTCAAGTTAGCTCACCGTGGGTTCCAGGCATCTGGGCTGCGCCTGGCTGCCTTGACTTTCTTTGAATTCTGCCTCCGCTATATTCCCGCCCACTTGACCCCAAGTGCAGGGGAAGGGGCTGGAGCAATCGTAATAAGTGCCTGTACGCTGCTGACAAATAATAGGTGTATCAGAGGGCGGCACTCTGTGATCTTTGTGTGCTGAGGTTGATGGCACAAGTCTGGCATTATGTAAGTGCTCCCTAGCTCCCGGTACCATGACCTGCGGCACGCAATACACAATTTGACCTGGTGCCCCTCCTTAACAAGCGCCCTAGGCGGCCGCGTTATAGGCCTATAGGACGCACTGGCCCTGCTCAGACCTGGAAGCTTGATCAACAAAAGGATAAAGTGGATGTTCCTTGGAAATCTGTTTAGTGCAGCTCCCCACCTTAAGCCTTATGAACGCCAGCATACAAGGTAAGTACAGGGATAAGGGATAACAATTTATTGAAGCACTTAAAATATACTAGATTCCATACATAAAAAAGGGTGGGGTGGACTATTTGAGTGGCTCAGCACCATGTGAATGCTACCAAACTTGGGTTTTATAAAATATTGGTTTTACTGTATTACTCTATAGTCTTTTTTATGTTTTTTTAAATAGGTTTTAACTGTACAGCTTGTAGTAAAAACCTTGTTTTTGTTTGTGTGCTCTCACTATTATATTGATTTTTTAATTAAGATGTTTTCAGGCATTGAATAAACAGGGGAAGATTCAGGGTAATCTCTCATATATTAAAGCATTACGTAAATAATAAATGTAAAATGGCCTTTTAAAACTGAAGTATTCTGACTTAGATAGCAGCGCAAGTATTGTTCAGCCATAAAATGTGACTAAATCCAATTTTTTCATCTAACAGTTTATTCAACCAGCATGTATAAAGTGCTAACATGCTCTATATGGATGCACAGTATTAGAATGACAGAAGAACATTTTTGCAAGAATTAGGATCGTTCAAGAAATTTACCAAAACAATTAGCAAAATTAATAAAATCATGATAGGCCACATTCTTACTGCAGCAACGTCAGTCAAATCTAGTTACTGAAAATCATTGACCATCCGATCTATAAAGGAAGTACTACTTCTAGCAACCATCCCCTCAGACTGCTCTATTACGGTTTCATTGGAACAATTGAGATAGTGACATAAATAAAAAGTATATATCTCCTATAATTAATCATATATACAATATTAGTAAATCTAATTCAACAGTGGGCTATTATATTGCTGCAGGAAAACAGAAATAGAATGTGCCAATTCAATAGAATCTTTACACATTTCCAAAATGACAACAACAAAAAAATCAGTGTAAATAAAAGTGTTTAATTTTGAGTTATGGTGAAATAACAAGATAATTGCACATTGTCGGTAAATCAACAAAATCAAATATTTTCCAACTTACCTATCTTTCAATTGGCTATATTGGCATACAATCTGCAATTCCATTGTCAGTTTTACATAATTCACAGTTTAGTGAATAAACCCCAACATAAAAACTCTTTAATTATTAAAACATGAAGTGAAAATAAAACATCCTGTGTCAAAACCTTGTTAAGCACCTGAGAGAATATCTTGTTTCAATGTGCTATATATGTATAGTATGGTAACTTGAAAGTCAAGTCTTATCTGCCAGAAAATGCCATTCACTAAATGATTTTTGGGCGGGAACCATTATCGCAAAGCACTTTAAATAATATGACAGCTGTACAAGGAGCAACCATTAAAAAAAACATGTGGCAAAACACTGCCTGCAACAATAAACTACTACTAGACTTTCTTTACTTTATATAGTTTCATTTACAGGTAAAATGAAAAAAAATCTTTATCTCCACTGAATGTATTACTTTATTAGGAATTTCTTACATTTTTACCATATCGAGAGTCTAATCATGAAAATTGCCTCAAGCATACAAATATCAGATTCATTCATATACAATCATATATTCATATATAACCATTCTGTTCCAAAAACATTAGGCAAAGTACTTGATTTCAGTACACTACAATACTGAAATATGGCTTAAAGAGAGAGCAAGGCACTGCATGGCTTTGGCCTCACTCTCTGTGGCCTTTTAGCTAAAGTGGATCTGTCAATTTCGGGGGTCTTTGAATATTTTGCAAAAACCCCAGAAGCAGACAGATGAGGTGAGTTTTACTTACTTCAGGTTGTCCCTCGCAGCCGCCATCTTCATGCTGTTGGTCCTCTTTGGCTCCTCATGTTTCAGTTGCTTCACACAAACACACAGTACCCCTCACATAAACACACGGCACCCCTCACACAAACACACAGTACCCCACACACACTCCCATAGCAACCCTCACATAAATAGAAAGCACCCCTCGCACACAGCACCCCTCACACAAACACACAGCGGTTATGTGTGTGTGAGGTGCGAGGTGGTGTAGTGTGTGTGGGATGCAAACACACTACACCACCTCACACAAACACTACACCCCCTCACACACATTGTGCACCCCTCACACACACACAGAACCCCTCGCACAAACACATTGCTCCTCCCCCACACACACAGCACCCCTAACACACACAGCATCCCTCACACACACACTGCATCCCTCACACACACTGCACCCCTCACATAAACACACGGCACCCCTCACACACTGCACCACTCTTACCAGCTAACATCACACCAAAGAGAAGCAGATGGAGCCATCACATTAGGAGTGAGTTAATTAAATGTTTAAATATTAATTAAATGTTTGACCAAATACAGCAGCCTAATTTTTACGATAATTTTGTATGGCCCGCAAATTATGTTTTAAATATCCAAATGGCCCTTGGCAGAAAAAAGGTTCCCCGCCCCTGCTTTACAATAAGACAAAGTAGTCCCATCTTTCTCGTGTGGTAGCTTTGGTCTTAGTATTTCATAAAGATTATATCTTTATGAAATACTAAAAAGTGATAGATCTGCTTTTACTCCAACACTGTCAGTAAGTCACCATATTGCCCAACTTTTAAACTCTTTCAAAATGCAAATATATTGGGTGGCAGGATGGTGAGAGGGCAGTGGAAACAGCATGTGTGGTATTTTTTTTGTTTGTTTTTTTCATATCCATTAGGTAGTTGTTTCTCAAAGCAGCTGCTAGCTTGTTTCCCTATATATAGATTGCAATAAGAGAGCACTTTTCCACTGCCCTCTAGTGACACACTTTCAAACTTTTACCATCAACAGTTTATCAAGTCTTGTGTATTGCAACCGTCAAGCTGAAGCGCATCAGAGGAAGCAACGCATGCAAAGTTCCCCTGCTTCTCCAGAGAATGATTAGTGCTACAACCTTCAGCACTCCTTATCTCAATTGCCAGAAAATCCTAAATTACAGCTGGAGGAGACAGGGTAATCTTTCTACCTGTGAGAGGGAATTTTTCTACCTTTGGGATATGTGTCAGATTTTATTTAGTGTGTTTGTGTATCTGACTGTGTTGAGAGAGACAGCATGGCTTATTAGATGTGTTTCAGAGAGTTCTGCTACACACATTTGACTTTAATCACACATGACTGGTGGTATGGTAAAGTGTGACTATGAGTTTTGGTGTGAATAAGTATTTTTCAGGCAAGCGCACAGACTTGGCTGGGCCTACGGCAGCAAATAAATCTTTATATTTCACTAACCCTATGTGCTAAGAATTATTTGCCCATACTTCTACTGAACTTTTATCCTGCAAACATCAAAGCATAAATTTGTGCTGTTAAATTCCTCCTACACTTAACTTTAATGACCATACAATTCAATGTCTGTTAAGTTTTATAACACATTACGGGGAAATAAATTAATGGCACACTGCGCAATGTTGTGGTTATGGTGACAGAAGCCCCCAGGCAATGTCCCAGGTAAAGGGATACTCTCTACACGCCAAAACCACAACTCTTAAAGAATTGGTTTTGGTGCCCCTGCAATGTGACGAATGTAAACATTTCCCGAGAAATGGCAATATTTCATTTGTACGATAACATGCCGCTAGTGGCTGTCAAGCTGACAGACACTAGTCATTTCCTTATTAGGAACTTGAAAAATGAAAGTTCTTCACGTTTGGCGTCATCACACCCAGCATGATGAAACCAAATGTTCTTAATGCTTCTAATAGCGAAGGACCACTAAATCCAGTAATCCACCCAGTTTAGGTGCAGTGGTTCTGTCATTTTCACCCTTTCATGTAAAACAGTGTCATTTTGCAGACACTGCAGTGTTTACATGGGTTAAATGCACCTCTAGTGGTTGTCTGTCTGACTCCTAGAGATCAATTGATTGGTGCAGTGTGGCGTTTTGACATGCATGTGAACTAGCCTGCCATCGTTTCCCTATAGGGAAACATTGCATTGGATGAGATCATCAATCACCTTTTAAACCCTCACAGCAATTATAGATAATAAAGTTACAAATAGATATATTTCTCTCTGAAGTGAGATGATCTTTTAACATTTCACCCATTGTGATAGGTGGAAATGCCACCTTTCTGATGACAGTTTTCCTTTAACTAACCCCAATAATAGTTATCGAAGGCCTGTACTCTAATAGCACTCTTTTAGAGTTTACATTGAATGCCAGATGGGACCAGAACAGCTTTCAAATGAAAGGGGGAAAAAAGCATAACTAATATAGCTAACGTCTAGTTAGATAATAGATATCACAAATAACAGTTTCTCGTTTCCTGTGAAATAACAGTTCCTCTTTATAAAAATTACAAAACTCTTTGGGGACTGCTTAAGTATTTTTTAGTCTTGACAATAAACAGGGCAAACTGAACACTCTTATTTAGTAGTGCTATAAATGAATTGGTACATTTTCATTGGGGGAAATTGCCAAGTTGCAAACTGTATAGTAGATCACCAAAAATGAATGGGAGCATCTGCAAGTTCTGGGGCCCATCCCCAAATGGCACAAGCACCGTGCATTGTTGAACAACGTGCATATCATCTGAGGTGGGTGCATTGCTCTGTAGGCAGCCACTTGTATCCATACTTGAAGCCTCCTTGAAAGCGGTATAAGCAAATATTAATGTTACCCATTTGAAGATGATTTCACTTGCATAATTTATAGATTATGTGTATGCCTAGCTGAAGCGAATGTAAACAGAATAAAATAAAAAGCCAGTGTGACTCCCAGTGGGATGACTGAAGTACTCTACTCAATATGCAGAGAGACTTTCAATTATGGCAGCTGATGGCTAATCCATAAAGAGACCTTGGGGCCATGAGGTATGCTCCTTTGCCTGGGTACAATTAATTTTGGGGTACTTGTCTTTAGAGTTCAACTTTCTTTTCTCTCATGAGCAATACCTCTGACATGCCAGTGCAAGGTATGTATATTATATAAACTATTTATGCTGCCTAACCTCCATTTGATAAATGGTCTCTCCATAGTTCAAGGCACTCTAACGGCATTCATGGCCAGAAATTGGTGCATTTTACTTCCTATGTCACTATGTTCCCCTTATCTTTAACTGCTTTTTTGGGTGGCCAGATTGTATGTATAGAGTTATCATATTTTATATTGAGAGTGATAACCTGAGGTATTTACAAACATTTCTTGAGGTCTGAATAAAAAACAAATTAAACAAAAAAATTTATTGAGGTCCTCTTTGGGTGCAAAATGTTACTCGGTCAGCACACTGGACACTGCTGAGGACAAAGCAGGTACATGTTTGATTAGGAGAAGCAGTAAATATCAATAGGAAGCAGAAGTGTTATTTTATTGGGTCTAGTTTGGCAACGAAAAAGACCCACAGCACAATGTACTGAATAGGGAATACAGAAAGTAGAACATTGGTAAGAGTAAACCAGGAGATAAAGTGTACAGTGTTGGTGAGTCAGTCAGGGAACATCGTATAGATGAATGGACTCATCAACTCAGTAAAACTAATGCAGTAGGTCAGAGTGACACATTCGTTGTGGGACAGAATGGACCCCATGGGTGGGTGAACATATTGAGATTTAGTAGGCAGTATTAAGAAGGGGCCACACACAAATATTTTCTAAATGGTAAATTCAGCACACTTCCCCAAAACAAATGCAAGATTATGGGCCAAGAACTTAATGGCAAATAATCCAATTTCTTTATTATGAATCGTTTCTGGTTGAACAGGGGTTAAGTGGGGCAGAGAAAGAAGGGAACAGATATTTGTCTAAGCAAATGGGTTCATTTAGATGTCTAACCCAAATGCACTTGCAATGCACCCAAAACTCTAACAAAAACTAGATTTTTCAATTAACTTTATCAAACTTTTTACAGTCACACTGAAAAAGTAAAATCTTGCTATAAATTAAAATCTGAACTGCGAAAATACTTTCACTATATAGGAAACCACTTCTGTATAAGTTATTTTCTCCATTCCATATGATCAGGCCCAATCAATCATTTAAGACACAGTCCTGATGTATTGATGCAACATAATGCTATTCTGACAGTCCAGTTTTATTTGAAAAATGTAATGTTGTTTTTTAAAAGCAATGTGTCCTCAAATATGGGCAGAAAATGTGATTATACTTTTGTTTAAAAAAAAAAAAAAAGTATTGTGTGAGAGGTTCTCTAAATATAGAAAGTATCACATACCTCAGACACACTTGTCTAGCACAACATTTTTAGACAGAATGTGCAGACAATTCTTTCATTGTGTTCCTGGACAAGACTTTTCACATCCTTAAAAGGTTCTGGAGCATTTAGAGATGAGGAGTGAAAATAATTAAAAAAGAAAAGAACAATTCTCTGCGAGCACAATCTACACAGCAAACACAGAAAGCCCTCACAGTGGGAAGGGGCAAGAAGTCTCAGGTGGACAATTACAGTAAACTTTTTCAAGACTATAGCACCCACCTGGTTCATACTTTAGATATAGAATGGAGATGATATAATAAGCCACATCGAACACTGGATAAACAGGTAGTTTGGAGAAGGAGGCTGTGAGGTCCTCTAAGCACAGGGCAGATAAGAAGTCCATGCTGGATCAGTCCTTTGCTGTTGGCTGCTGATGAAATGACAGCAACTGCAGAAGGATCTCGGGGGGGGGGGGGCTGGTTTAGTTAGATGTGACAAACAGCTTCTATGGGAATCCCTGTCCCCACAGCCACCTCCCCACTCAGTAAAAATAAAGCCTCAGTTGGGGATGCTAAAATTAGCTGTCAGACTCTTGCAGGGAGGCCACTCCTCTGATGCTCAAGGAAGGGGCCTGTTCGCTTTTGCAAATAGTGATTTGCGAGATGCAAACATTGTATCAGCTAAGATACACAAGCCTGCTTGTCAAAGCTGATAGCAAGAACTTGTCACACCCAGTGTTTGCAGTAAAACGTGCTACAGGGTAGTTCTATTACTTTTAAACTCCGTTTTATTAGCATGTGTGACATTAGCATGCCAGTGGTATATTGCACAATAAAAGGTTTTAAATATGTTTAATAGCCAAATGAACATTTCTACAGCTTGACTTAATTTGAAATAAAACACGAAGACGTTCCTGCTTCTAGTGTACGTCTACTAGAGACTTTGCATGGCACATAAGCCACAGCATAGCCTTTGCAAAACGTTGATATGTAGATTAGCGAGGTGCACTATAACATGCAAACAACAGCTCATAAGTTTAGGACGAAGGATCGTGTGTATTATGCAATGTAGGTTTCACAGAGGTATATGTAACTATATTCTCACTCATATTCTCTTAGATAAAGGGTCACTCCAGACCCCTAAAGCACTTTAGCTTGCTGAAAAACTTTATGTGTGAAGAGTGTGTCCTATTTTTTCATTTTGCAAAAAACTGCAGATTGCAACAGATATTGACACTTTTTTTTTCTTTCAGAAATTAACCTTGTTACACCCCCTAGCGGTCAGACAACTAGTTCTGTTACTTCCTGGTTTGGTCAGCTCAGTGGAGCTTAAAGGACCACTATAGTGCCAGGAAAACAAACTCGTTTTCCTGGCACTATAGGGTCTTTGGGTCCCCCCCCCACCCTCTGGGTCCCACTCCCGCCGGGCTGAAGGGGGCGGAAGGTGTTAAATTCTTACTTCCCGGCGCTGGCGACTCTCCTCCCTCTTCCGACGTCATCCGCCGAATGCGCGGCAAGAGCTGCATGCGCATTCAATCAGTCCATAGGAAAGCATTTCTCAATGCTTTCCAATGGACGTTGGCATCTTCTCACTGTGAAAATCAAGTCAATGAGACAGCCACTAGAGGCTAGATTAAACCTAATGTAAACATAGCAGTTTCTCTGAAACTGCTATGTTTACAGCTGCAGGGTTAACCCTAGATGGACCTGGCACCCAGACCACTTCATTGAGCTGAAGTGATCTGGGTGCCTATAGTGGTCCTTTAACTCAAGAGGAAGCAATTGCCAAGATCACCTGCCTTGCAAACACTTCTCATTGAGCTGCATTGGACAGTCTGTGATTGAACAGCTACAGAAAGTCTGGGCTGGGTTAGAAGAGGAGGGTTTGCAAAGGCAGCACACAAGAGAACTGCAGGTTTTGCAATCAGTTTTTAGATATACTCCCGATTAAAAAAAAAAAAAAAGCATAATTAAATGTATGCAAGTTTTCATTTGGTGTACATCTACTAAATGATGAGTTTTATTTATTGTGTATTTATGCAGTGGAATTTCAGATTGAGGTTTTGGTAATACAATCGTGTCTTGCTCAGTTGGTGTGAGCTTATTAATATAGAACTTTCAGAGCCACTCAGTTGATTGATAGGACCTCTCTTAGCAGAATTCTGATGAAATCAGTGACTTTTTCTGCAGTCAAAAACCAGTAGGATTTTGTAGACAGAGAGTAAAAAAAAAAAAAAGAAGAAAATTATTAGGACCTGTTGTAGTTACTCCAAACATTTGAACCTAGTATGCCACTTTCTGGACTATGAAACACCTGAAGCTCACTTAGGTGGCCCTCCTTCCCATTGGTATATTACTGAGGCCCAGGATCAAATGGCAATTCTATGGTCATCAACTCATTATGGACCAAGGAATTAGGCAAATCATTTTCTGTCTGGCATGTTATTGACCCTTAAGGGTCTAATACTTAAAATAATAATTCATTTCCATTTAAATGGGAAACTGGTCATTCTTTTTTAGAAAAAGTGGACTAACCGGTTTAATATATTTATTTAACGCCAAGTTTGACAAGACAAGCTCAGATGACAGGTCTGCTTTAACTTTGATCCTGTTCAGTGACACAAACAACATTGTGACTGCTAATAGAGTTAAAACTAACTCGATTATTGTATTCACACAATGCCTTTTTTATATCTTTCATATTTAATATGTTTGAAAACAACTACATTTACACATCTATATTTGTAGGCTTACACTGTTATTGTGCCTCTGTGTAATATGATACAGCATGGGACCTGGAAACATGTCCGTTACTACACCCAAATTCTTAAGAATCACCCCGGAATGATTATAGCTTCCCTTTTTAGTTTATCCTGGAGATACCATTGTTTTCAGTGGGAATATTGGCAATGCAAGTGCTTAGAAGGTTCCTATTTTTGTGAGTTGAGAGTGAGCTCATACCAGAATATTTTTAGTCTCTGACAGGGAGGACTGTGCCCAGATACACATGTTCTGAGTTCAAAGTAGCACTTTGCCAAATGACTGTGCATTTTAATAATACTTAGTTTACACCTATGTACTATATTATTCTGCTCTGTTCTCTTTTGTGTTAAATATTACACCAAACATATATATACCACCCAAGTGTCCCGGTTTTGGAGGACCAGTCCATATTTTGGACACAAATCCTTGTGTCCCTCTTTTCTATCCTAATGTCCTTTTTTTCTAGGAGCCTTATAATGTTGGAGTGTATGCATGTAGAACATAGTTCCACAGCAATGTTACTCACAAAATGAGTCTTGAAACTACATTAATTGTGTTTAGAAATAAGTCTGTGCAAATAAGATTCACTGTTGATGTTCTAAATTGCATTATGTGAAAGGAAACTAAATAAACAAACTGAATAAGCAAACACATCGAAAGGCTCTTTATTTAAAGCCAAATTTTATATTCATTAATTATATAATGTATTAATTACATATTTATTTAAAAACCACTGTAACTACTCACTATTATAATAAACACTGTAACTTTATTCACATCAAATGAAACAAAGATTAGCCTGGCATTGAACAGCCAGGCTAACCACCTAAACTCTGCTTTTTTGGAAGCATTATTGTCATAATTGTTTTTACAGAATATTGGTCTCTGAGGAAGTCCCATAAGTGAGACGAAACGCGTAAGACCAGATTTTCTTTTTATTGCTTTTTATACATTAGCAATAAACCTCTTTTCAACTTATCTACCCGTCGGAGAACTGCATGGTTCCTGATACTGGGTGATACCTGATCCTAAGAGGGAGATATTAGCCCCCCCCAAGACATCGGGGGAGGCACCATATTACTTCCAATTCTTGTATATCAGCTGAATTCCACAGGTATTATATATTTGGGCTTATTTAGACAAAACACTATTTGGTAGGTGTTCGGTGCAAAGCTGTTTTCAGTTAACTGATAAGTATATGCTTTTATATATATATATTTTTTTTGGTTTGTTATATTTTAACCACTGTAACAAACCACCTCTTTTACAGGTAGGATTGTCACCGATCTTGCAGTAACCACAGCCTTCTAGGGTATACAAAGTCCAGGACACCTTCAGCTCAGTTTTTCTTTTATTCAGTAAGAAAACAGGTTCTTTAAATAATAACAAAAACAAACAAAATCCCTTGCTCTTACTTGAGCTCTTACTAGACAGTAATTGCTATCTGCAATTGGGTGGCTTTCCCACTTACCAATTTTCCAAACAAAAGAAATGTCTTTGCAATAACCACACTTGTCTTTCACTCTCCTAGCTGTCTTTTCCTCCCTCACACTGCAGCAGGCTGCCCTCTTCTTTTAAAGGCCTGTCTACTAATTGACTAGCTACAGGTGAGTGCCAATTAACTAACTCGTAAGTCAGATCCAAATAGTGGTCTGTTACACAGCAACTAATGCTGTTGGAGCATTGGCCCACCCTGCTCTCCAAATACTCCGCCCCAGGGACCCATACCATGTTTTGCAGAGCATCAGCTTTGCATATTGCAAACTTTAACATCTCTCCCTGGGGCATTTAACTGAAAAATCCTCTGGTTGCTGTTTAGCAAATCAGGTCTGATGTATCTCCCATCAACCACTATTCCACCTTTACGCTCACACCACCTACATTGTTTTAAATAGCCAGTATGGCCAAATTTACAAATCTGTCACCTATTTATCTAGGCTGGCAAACATCACACCCATATTTTTTCAACAAAACCACAGCCTTATCAACCATTGCTTGAAGATGGTTAAAAATATCTAGACCAATGTTTGAGAGATGAATACTATCCTCCAATACAGACCTTAGAACTACCTTCCAATTCTAAGTAGACGAAAAGAAAAACCTCCTAATGATGGCAAAACCTTAAAGGATCACAAAGATGTATAACACTAATGTGTTTCTCTCCCTCCAATGGCCCCCTTCCAGCATTGTAAAGGGCTTAATAACCCTTTATTCACTTACCTGATTCCAGCACGATCTGGAGGTGCTGGGTCACGATCCACCTCCTCCAACGTTCGTTGATGGGGCGCCTAATGCGCATGCACAGCAAGCTCCACGTGCCCATTAGGCCTTTCTGTTGGAAAGAATTTCCTATGGAGTTTTTTCTGATGCTGGATGTCCTCATGCAAAGAGTGAGGACGTCCAGAATCGTTTCACAGAGTAAAACGCAGTGAAACTCCAGGAAGCGCCTCTAGTGGCTGTCTGGTAGAGTGAGCAGTGTTTGCCTGCCTGAGTGGGCAGTGTAGAAATTTCCTGTGCTTTTTGATTGTTGCGCTTCCAGACGTGTTTGATTAGAAGGCCCCAAACAGAATACACACCGTGTTAAGCAATGGTCTCAAGTTGTTTTCTTAGAAGTAGTGGGTCAGGTGGGAGCTAACTTCTGTTTGTAGGAGAGGTCTTCTAGTTGATACTCATTTAAGCACAAAGACCAAGTCTTTGTATTGGAAGAAAGAGGTATTAGTGCATGGTCTGACTTCTTTTTTTGCTGTATGCAAACTGTTGAGAAATCTGTGTGGC